TGGCCCCTTGTAAGTCGATGGCGAGTATCATTTCTCTGTCTTCCATTTCTTCATCCCATTGGTCTTTGGGATCTTCATCTGATAATTCGAAGGGAATTTTCCAGCAGTGACATCAGGCGAAGATGATGCGTCCAGTTTTCCAATTGATTAAAGGGTTGTGTCTGATTAGCCAATCATGTCCCAGGAATACCTCTCTGGTTCTTAGATCAGTTACTGCCAGGTCAATTCATTCTGAGTGATTGCCGATAGTGAGCCTGAGCTCTACATATTCAGTGATCGATCCAGCTTGATTCTTTGTCCCATCCATGTTATAGATGGGGATCGGGGCCGCTGTTGCCCGGGTTGGTAATTGATGCTTGGTGATGAAAGCTCGATTAATGGAACTTCCTGTGCAGCCGCTGTCGATCAGGACAGTAACTGCATGGGTAGATCAAGATGTTAATGTCTCGATCTGTGCTTTGGTTATTAGATCCTGTCCAGAGGACTTAGTTCGTCGAATGAACTTTCATGATCCGTGTAGTTCGTCAAGCCATTCGAGTATATGGCACCTTTCTGCTCTTCGCATTTCTGTAATCATATCATCGATCACTTCCTTGGCACAGGTCTTATGTACCCAATTTTTGAGTATGGCCTTTGCCACTGCTTCATCCTTGGCATCTTTGATCGCCTGCCAAGTCCATTCAGTATCAAATGGCTTGAGCCAGGCAGTGGGGCTCCCTGCCTCTGTTTGGCCTGAAGGTGATTGAGTCTGTTCTATATTTTTAGCTTGATGATCTTTAAGTGATGACATACCTTTATTAGGGCTCTCTGCCCTTCTTCAGCCCTTCGTCAGCACTTGAGTTGCTGAGATCAATTCCTTAGGCGATTCTGAGTTCTGAGTAATAGGGTTGGGTATATTCGAATGCACGCATAATTTAGACATAGGTGGTGATACTAAAGAAGATGAAATGTCAGTCTGTTCAGCAGAGTGTGATCCATTACTTGTGTCCTTGGCCGAGGCAGTCGAATTGCCTACTGCTTGGCCCCATCTTTTTCCTCCTCAGCTTTGTCGTCATCCTCGAGGTCCTGCACTTCCTTTGTTAGCTCCGCAATTTGTGCCCTGATATCCTCCTATGTGTGCTTGTTCTTCTTCTCTAGACAGTTCTGCGCCATGTGGCCTGGTTGGCCGCAATTAAAGCACTTCCTCTCCTTCTTGAGACGATCCACATCGATTTGCTTGCCCATTCTGGTACTTGGACTCTTACCAGTTTGCTTCCCATTGTTCTTGGAAGTTGGGGCTGAGCCGTCAGGCCTGGTGGACATGGTCACATGGGAGGTGGAGGGCTTTGAGCCCTGTCTCTGGTACCTGTGCTGATCCCACAGGTTTGTTGCTTCGGCCTTCTGCTATTGTCGTTCTTGCCACATTAGAGTGATTCTCAACTTCCAGTCGTCATAGCCAACTGGAATACTATGACCGAGGTCCGAGATCGTCTTTAGGTAGTGAGGTGGCACTCCCCACTTCATATACTCTACCATCCATCTCGAATCGGCGATGTCTTCCCAGATCCCAGCGAGCTTCCCGAGTCACTCCAGTTCATCGAAGTAATCGGGTGCCGCTTTGTCACCCATCTTGTATTCCTTCATCTTCACTTTGTGGACTTCTCATACAGCAGGATCCATGAACTTGTCATGGATCATCTGCTTTAGTACCACCTAGGCAGGGTACCGGCTGTGTTGCCAGGTGGTCAACCAGAAGTTAGGGGCCAGTAGTACCCACCATACTTTTGCCTTGTCCTCGAAGTAGGTGGTAGCATAGTTCACCTTGTACACATCGTGAAGGAAGTACGAGGTGAAGACCTGGAAATACTGGTCGCAATCCATAAGAAAACAGTCGATATCGTCTGAAGCCCCTTTAAAAGAAAGGGGATCCTGTCCAAATGTCGGTTTGACATTTAATACATGTGCCCTCAGATCGAGAGGTGCCATCGGATTGGGAAGTTCCCCCCCTAGGGGTCCAGCCCAATCCATTGGTGGTCCTGGAAAGGAATGTAAGGACCCATCATCAGCAACAGGGCTCCTTGGTGCCAGTGGGCCTTCCTTCTTGATGATCCGTCCATCTTTGATTGTCCACCCTTGTGCCATTGCCTCAGGGTCATCCTTCTTCTCATCAGTCGGTGCCGACCTGGTTGCCTCGTCAGGAGGTGGCTGTCCCCCTAGCAATCAGCTCTCTGTGCTGGTCCAGGGATTCGGGTGGTAAATCCTTGGCTGCGCATAGGACTGGGTCAGCCAAGATGCCATGCTACGAACAGCCGACATGGTGAGCAAGTACCTTGATGTTGCTGTTCAAATTGAAGACGCTGTGTTCACTGTTTTGGGCAGCATCACACTCGGTGTCCATGGCATAGGTGCTTCCTGTTTGCCAAACCTTAGTCGATATGGTGGCATCGCCATCATCTGATAATGTAAGAAGCATTGATTAAAATTAAAAATTGTGTGCTCTGTCACAGCATACTGTAAAATCTCTTTCCGTTCTATGGGATCTGCAGCGGTATACCTCCACCCCAGGGACGATCGTAGCCAGCGATCATCCCTCCATAATTCAGCTACCTGTTCCTGGTATAACCAAATAAATTCCTCCTCCTGTGCCTCTCATTCTCATCGCCTTTTCTCCTGTTCTTAGCACATGGTGATGCTGACGATACTTCCCTATTCAAGAATGGGGTCCACTGCTTGGCCCCCTTGGTCCTCCTCCTCAGCCTCGTCATCCCCTTTGGTCCTCTTGTTGGTGGTCCCCTCGAGGAGGGAACTGCCTTGCTGGCTGAAGGTTTCCGGAGTGAGTGGGTTGGGGCTGAGTGCTTGACTCAGCATCCTCAGGTCCGAGTTGAGAAGTAGGCTCCTGGTCGGGCTGCTCCTCTTCTCCTTCTGCTGGCAGCGCCACTGCTCTGCGATACCAGCAGAAGTTTCTGTAGAAACAGGGGCAGAGGAAGAGGGAGGTGATTGGCCCGTTGAGGACCCTTTTGAGGTCTCCAGTGGGGTCAATATGTTCATTGTCGCCCCCGATTGATCTGAGGTCTGACGGTATCCTATCTCCCCAGATGGGGATATTGTCAGTTTCAGTGATGGTGTCTGTCCCATATGATAATGGGCGGTCGTCGCTGAGGAGTGTCAGCTCCCCACGGTAGAAGTCATCGGCATGGACAACTCTGGCTGGTCCTGTCCAGGGGTCAGGCTCATTGACAGGAGTGGCTGGTTCCCAGAACGGAGAGTCAGGAGTGCCGACTGTGGTATTGAGGTAGTTGGTAAGGGAGTGGGGGGTCAGCTGTATTGGGTTTGGTACCACTGGACCACCCCTTGGTAGGCGGGTTCGTTCTCCTCATTCCAATCTGCTGGCAGCTCTTGACGCTGCTTGCCAGTATTTGATCTCGCTTCTGTTGGTGTCATCAAAGAAGGGGTTGGGACTACTGACCCTTGTTCCCCTTCTACTGCTCCTTGTTGTGCTTCTGGTGTCTGGAGCCATCCAAATGGCATCCAGGGAGTCTCTAGCCCAGTGCCCAATTCCAGACTAGGCAACAGTTGTTCTTGATGCAGTGATGCTGTGCTCGGAGGCAGGGAGGGGGGTGTTGGGTCGGGATCGTCAAAACTCTGTAGCCCAAGAGTTTTCAGGGTCTCAGACGACTGCTGACAGGGGTCTTGGGGGGTATCCATGTTGCTGCTGCTGCTCCTCCTCTTCCCTAGAATGCCTTTGAGTCGAGCTCCCAGGCTCATCTTCTGTTTCTTCAGAGTGTCAGATGGAGTTTCAGACAGAGGGAGAGATGTTGTGGAGGGGGAGGTCTGGTGTGACATTTCAAAGGATTGTGCAGATGCATTGGAATTCTTGGTAGTGTCAAATGGCCCAGGCGGTAATGGATTGGCATCTATGGCACAGCTGTATGATCACCAATAAACCGATCAAGGTTCCAATGATAGAAGCCAAGAGTTCGAAGAACTCGTGAGTAAAGTTTGGGTCGGATGGATTTAAGGCAGGGGGCATTCAGTTCTCAAAGCAGTTTAGGCTTGAGAAGGGAAGCAAGAAGTCTCAAACTAATTGTTAAGCCCAAATTCCACATGACTAGAGACACATGATAAACTGACAGAACCTCGCACTTTGGGTTATACTGTCAGAGTTCACTTGTGTGTGACTAGTGTTGTGTTGTCAAGGCGTTTGCAGTTTGCTCGAGATGAGATGGTGAAGTAAAACTTTAGTTCAAGACTGAGGTGTTACAGCAAGAACTAAACTACTTAAATACTGTTCTGTTATCACATTATAAATAACTGTTCACAAAAGATATTGTCTGCTGTAGAGCTGTTTCCCCTACCATTGCCAGGCTCTCCACAAAAGCTGTTGTCATGCTGCAGGACTGTGGTCATGCACTGTAATTTGGGGACAAAAGGAGCATTGTCTCTCCCTTCACAGCACACAGCAGTGCAATAGAAGAATGACCGACTGGGCTGCTGAGCTAAGCATTCCCACGGTCATAAGCGCTGGCCTAAGTGCCCTGACTAAGCAAAGATAGGGGTCATTTCTGAAGGAAAAGAAAGAAAAATAGGAAGAAAATAGGAAAAATCGTAACAAATTGTGAATAACATCACAAGAGATGCATAGAGTAAAAAAATCATGAAAAGCACAGCAAACTTCCAAGTTCAAAGTTCAAATGGATATTTTTTTGAAAAATTACCATGCAGCATATGTATTTTCTGACTGGAAGTTGAACCCAATGCACTTAATCACATAAATGACAGATGTGTGATAACCAATAGACTATGCCTTTTAGTTGGCTGCATTTCTATATTCTAGCTTCTGATGGTGTATCTTCTTTTCTTCCTATCACAAACTTATCTTGCATTGACTTGCTTTTGGAGGGAACTGTCATCTAATTACTGATATTCAATTGCTCATAATGGGACCAAAGAAGATACAGTAGTCTACCCTTGATGTGAACATGGTGGTCCATTCAATGCTGAGCAGAATAGTTGGTTAGATTTTATAAAGGAAAGACATTGAATAGTTCATTGGGTATTGACGCGCCCACGAGAACGGACGTCTCGTAATTCCAGCAGCGACTGACGTTTTTGATGGTGTATCCGCCTCTCCCGACGATCATAAGTGGGACGTTGAATTTTCGTACAAAGTTGACGCATTCGCCGTGTGCTGCGATAGACAAGTTGAATGTACCGAGACCGTCACAGCCTAGAGAGTCTGCGCCGCATTGGAGAACGATTGCTGACGGGCTGAATGCGTGGACCGTGTCACCGATTACCGTCTTAAAAACGGTGAGGTACATCTCGTCATCGATACCGTCTAATAGGGGAACGTTAAGACAGAAATGTTTCCCCAGTCTACTACCGTTATCGTCCAATTTCCCAGTCCCCAGGAAGTAACCCCCGGTGTACTTGTAAAAGGAGACAGTCATAACTCTATTGGAGTATAAAGGGCGAACTCCACACCGTCTCCGTGATGGATACCAATGTCAATATATAGAACTCGAGGATGGTATCTAAGAAGGCGATGAATACTGTGCCGTGTGAGTTTCCAGTCATACTCACCTCAGGAGTTCGAGGATTCCCAAAACGATATCATTCGTGCAGCAAAATCCGCTGGCTTCCCCTCACTTCGCGTGGTGAAGTCAGCCTGCCCAGTTGATAGCAATGTCGGTGGTACCAGCGCATAGTTTTCTAGCAGAGGAAAGCGAGCCTCCGGATTACATACGACAGAAATCGTACATGTCCGAGAAAACGGGGTAGTCTTCTCCGCAGTTGAAGTTGTCCAGCATTTACTTCATATCTCCTTGGCTTTGCGGTGTAACTCTGGGTTGAAAAACAGTTAGATACACTTTCCGTTTCATTGTACACATACTAGTACTGACTTGGCTAAAAAATCAAGGTAATCTGCGTCATGGTAAACTTCGAGCTCTTCTCATGTGGCCCATCGAACATCATATATGTGATGTAGTTGTTTGTCAAGACCGTAACCCAGCACTAATGCATTCGTTAGTGTGAGCCTGTGCGGTTTCATAGGATGCCGTTCCTAAAATACATCAACAGTCAATTGAAAACCCGTCACCATCTTCAAGACTTACGCCATAGTGTTGTGCGCCAATATCTTTCGGAAAATAACATGAGACAATAGCCCCGGAAAGAGGCTACAGAAAGCATCAAGCAACATTTGCAAATATAAAAGCCATTCTCCTACATTTACTCTTTCGGTGATGGGTTCCGCCGTCTCGTGAATACCACGGTCTTAAAAATATGGCGCAGAGGAGAAGGTCTTAGATTGAGATGATCGGACCATTTTTTAGGATAGAACAAAGGCAGAGACTTCTCGATAAAGCTTGGAATGATACTAGTTTGGCAATTTAGAAGTAAGCTCTCGCATGATATAAAAGCACCAGACAACGAACCGTTCGAAGCTCTAAGATGCAAGAAAAGCCTGCGGAGTGATAGAGATACTGAAAATTAAGAGGGATGTCGCGCAAGGATGGTTGATACAAAGTCTAATACAAATAACGAAGGAGGGTCAGTTGGTCGACATGTATGTACTTGCAAAACTGTGAAGATGAAGTTTCGACGATCAGCCAAAGAAAGACAAATAACTTGGGAACCGTCTTCTCGCCGAACACGTCTGGTTACATCTTCACCGTCGGACACAGGGAGCGGATGAAGCTCACGATTTTTCTTCCTCTGCTGGTCGCGTTTCCAGTGCAGGTCCTTGCATCATGGGGGGACAGATCCAATGACTTTCAATACTGCCTTCGTCGTTGCGAAACGGCTGACTGCGTCGGCCAGGAACCTGCACCTCTGTTGCTTAGCCTCCGTCTAACACGCTGGATATCCTCAGATAACTGCAAATATCACTGCATGCACGAAATCACATCTCGCGATATTGCGCTGGGAAAAAAAGTGAAGCAGTATTACGGCAAGTGGCCGTTCTGGCGTCTTACTCCGGTTTGATGTCGGCTTTTCAAACACTATCAGAGATCCAGGATATGCACACGCGAACTCGAGGTGTCCGCATGACGTGCAGGGAAGACGTTTCTAGCATCTGTTCTTTGCGCATACACCGGCTTCGTTAATGGTAAGTAGCACACTTGGTTTTGTTCCAAGAAGAGAGTCCTGACGATGTGTACAGTGACCATCTATGAAATCACAGCCGGGAAGTCGTTTCACACACCTCCCCAGGCCTCATCAAAGATGGCCAAATCCCTAACGGCCCAGGGGCTGCGCATGTATATCTTAAGCTTCGGGGAGAGAAAAGACGCATTCTCCAGAAATTGAGTGGGACGGCTCTGGCCTTGCTCGCTGCCCTTTGCCCCTGCTCGTTTGTTTCTAACCCCAGGACTGGACTTATACTTCCAACCCCTTCATAGACAACCTCGCCAGCCCGATGACTACCTTGGAAATTAGACGTTTCTGTCAAGGAGGGAAGATTGGTTCAGAATCTATTGTTCAGCAGCTGTAGGGTGAGGCTTGGCAAGGAGGACATTGCCTTGCGATCATCAAGCAGTGTACTAGTAACAGGACAAGCTGCACACTCAGTTCTTAGGCGGCCGTGTAATGAAGAAGAGTAACGGCATGCTCCTGGAAGGGGGTAGTCCAGATGCGCAAAATATAACGGTCGCTCTAGCAGGTTCTTGGAATACCCGATCTTCAGACAGGTTGCGTCATCTCATGTTCTTGCAGATCCAATAAGCAGCTCCGGTCATTCCGGACTATAGATCAGCGTAAAATCGCATGACCTCCTCGGGCGGTACAAACGATCTATTCTCCCTGATGATCCACGCAGACGGGAGGAAGAGTAGCACGACCGATGCCCGCTCTGAGTTGATTCTCCAACGCGCTAGAGAATGGTCTACACACGTATTTGCCTTGTCGAGCTTCAGAAGAATAAGAAAGTGAGCCCCTCTGATATCGACTGCCTCACTCCTTGTCTTTCTCATCCGTTCTGGTTTTCCCGCTCCGCAAAGTTTGCGGACTTCATGGAGACGAGAAGCCTTCAACAAAACGTGGCGCAGCATCAAAGAGCAAATTCTTGTTTGGGATGCTTCGCCAGCAGCAATCGGATAGTTCAAGAGAATCTGGGCAAGGATGACGCTGAGGAGATCGCCTTCCCGAGCTGTCCTCCTGGGGAACCATTTGGATCAGCCGACCGAACCGTCAGGCGATGTTTGATATACTTTTTGGAATGATGGAGAAGAACAGCACGAGTATGGTGCGCTCGTGGAACAGCATTCCGGTATGTGACACCCCGTTATGATATACATGTACGCTGACAGCAATTGTAGCACACCGTCCGCTTCTGTATCGGACTCATGCTCTATCTTTGGGACGGGAAGTCTTCAGGATTGAGAAGCAGATGCTTTTCCAGGGCCCGACAAGGATGACGCTAGTACTGAGCTGCACTCCTTGTGAACCAGTTGCACACCCAATTGCGCATGATTGGAGTGAGGGAAGAGTAGCACACGACTCGCAACCATGGGACGTCCGCGCGATATGAGCGCTGTGAACAGCCTTCTGGTATGCGACGTCCCGTTGTGATATATATACATGCATTCGCCTGTTTACATACCGGACTCTCAAGGCGCGTGACCGAGAAGGTACAAATCGCCCCCTCATTTACTCGAGTATTTTACGACCAGAGCTCCAAGGACCTCCGAAATGTCGACGGCTCCTCCTCATTAGTGGTGGAGTGCAAAATGTCGTATTACCTGTTGGCGGTGCTGCCTCGAATCGGAGTAGATGTACGGATCAAGTTTGTTGACCCCCAAAACGATGCTCCCAAAACGTTACAGTTGTGCACAAAATTCAGGTTTGTCAAAAATGTTCATTTTCCCAGTGTGACTGCTCTTGCTCGTCGTGGGACGTCTTCTCATCAATGGAGCATTGTGATTGAATCATTACGCTGCGTATTACAGAAGTCTACGACACTTCCAATAGTTAGGCTTCTCCGACTTCCCACCACTAAAGTGTGTATGTATCATCTCTTTTGATCCTGTATCTCATATGAATGTAAAGTTCAATCATGTTGTGTGATTGCATCTCCTTCACCTTGTGTTGTCGTCTGAATAGAAGCGAGGAGGCTTCGATTTCCCAAGTCAGTTATTCGGCAAATCTTCCCCTTGGATCACGGCATTAATATGAGGTAACCTCAGTACCGTCGCTGATCCTGATATCTGTATTGGTTACCAGGTGAGCGTCGATCTCGGTACCTTTGCAACCAGGGTTAGCATGTGTTCTACAGCTGTTGTCATCACGATGTATCAATCGCTATGCAGTATCATTTGATGTCAAGTTCATCACTGGCACAGTTTCTCTTGTCGCCAAATACTGTATACTGGAAGTGATTTTACGTTGCCCAAATGTCAATCTTTTCATCATGAATCCAAGACTTATCGACTCCTAATCGGATTCATTGTAAAAAACGAGTCCTGGCATTTCAGCTTTGAAAAGTGCCCTACGCATCGACAATGGTCCGATGTATGTCGTAGGACGAAACGAGATTTCTATTCATTTCCTCGCCATCCGCCTGCTGCGGTCCCAAACTCAAGCCAAGCTGGTTCTTGGTAAACGCTGGATTCCGTACCGATGATATCTCCCTTGGTATCGCGTTCCAAGGTTATGGTTACCTGCTTTACCCACGAAACCGTTCGCAGAGTTTTCACAACCTTTCCGCATCTCTTCGCTACCAGAACCGTATGGTTGACCCTGGTTCCGGCGAAAAAGTGGATGTGAGCGAGACGAGGTGCTCCTAAAGTTTTCATTATTGGATCATGCTAAGAAAAATTGAAACTCGCATAAACGTGTTTTACTAATAAGAACCTACCTCGTCGTCACCATATGGCAGCAATACCTCCTCTAGGGAAGTAAATTCATTCAAGAGGGGAAGGGCTATAGGTCTGTCCGCCCAGGGAGTAACATACAAACGCCCTTCGGGATGTCCAATACACAGCTTTTTGAGCTTGCCTACAGAAAGTTTCTCAAGCACGCAGCCTACATACGGCTCACGCAGTGGAAGCATTGCGATGAGTACTTCCAGATTGGGCAGAGACCCTTCAGGAAGGATCTATATGGCCAATAAATAAATATGAGGAGAGCAGACGTCAGCTAACGGTACGTACCGCGAACCATTGGGCCACATCATCGGCTTCCAAGCTTTCCCCAAGTGATGGCTCTGCTGCCAAACAGGTCCATCGGAGATCAAGATGAGTCAAGAGCCGTTGTTGTGATTCCGAAAGGGAGGAAATCCCATCCAAAGTCTGCATGAGCGTGGAATCATCGTAGTGTCCCCTTGCCTCGATGATCTGTACACCATCGACATGCGCGAATTCCAAAAGGGGGCCACTGTCGAAGCGGTCGAACTTGATATGCTTCAAAAAGGGCCGAGAGTAGTCAAACGAGAAGGAATTATCGTCTAGGTCACACGCTGAGATAGAGAAACTCTCTAGCGCTGGCATTTTGAAGATAATCGGGACGAGGATACTGGATAAGCATGTACCGTCGTCATCGTTGTGGTTGTATTCACATTCCACTGATGCATGGGTAACGCCGGCAAAACGAGGGAGCTGCTTGACCAATATTTCGGACATTTTGATGTCTGGGAAGCCACTGCAGCGAAATGAGATAAACCGGACCGAATCACGGCGGGTTTCTTTGGAATAGACAGAGCGAAATTTAGAGTAGAATTCGTGGCTCTCGGGAAGAGGTAAGGAAAACGCGATGTTTATCTCTCGAAACGTTAAAGGGCGAGCAATCGCGAGAAGAGTATGATTGCCAACAAGACAGATGTTATTGAGCGTGACATTTTCGCCTTCAATATTGGAGAATATTATGTGCAGAAGCTCGGCGGGGAGGTCTACCAAGTTCACCATCCTTTTTTGGGGTCGCCGTTGCGAGTCCTGATTATTCCGTCACGTCCATTACCCCGGTAAGAGTTAACAGCCTCACCGGTTATGTTGAATAAAATCCGACCGAAATCTCGTACACCCTCATAGACTAATCGATACGCGTCTGTTGGGGAAGGATTACGACGTGTATAAGGTGATCGAGGAACAAAGCGACAACGTACCGTTTATGTACAATATTTCGGCTTCATTATTTGTACTGATTTTATTCCTAATGAGTTACCATTCCTGCTCAAAAGTTACAATTGGCGGAAATTTTTCACGGTTGACAAGGTCTTCCTCTAATTCCTCTGATTCTGTCGTGGATCGGTTATTCGTACCTGTTGTCCTGTGAGTAAACGACGTTCGACAACGGCCAGACTTTGATTCGGCTGAAGTCATCATAGTTTTCTTCGTGTTTCAATATAAAAATCTCACCGAGATCAAGGCAAATCTCCGCATGACTTCCCTGTCCTCTTACTCACTTTCGTAACAATGAGCGGTGCAAATCTCCTGTACACCTTTGTGTCATATATCGGTGCACCGTTGCTGTCCAAGAGCACCGTTCCTCGTGTTTTCGGATTTGGGGCTAACTGCTTCAATGCCGGTAACGTGTATTTTTGTGTATCGATTCTTTTGCGGGGCCGTAGGATCGTTCTGTTCGGGTGCACGCCGAGCGAGGGTATTGACGCCGTACCTGAAGAGGGTTAGTAAAGTGAAAGTAGTACGTACTCGGCTTCGAACTGGCGTCCTACATCGCTTGGAGGAAACCCGGCTTTCTTCCCTGTGACGAATTCTAGTATGCGTTGTTGAACAGCCTATGATGCATGATAAAGGCCAGATCGGTAAACAATTGTCAGACTCTGAGCACAACCACCAATCCCACCTGAGCATTGTGTCCAATGGCGTAATCATATTCACCGAGTCCACACAAAATGAAGAAGTGACGCAGGTTCTTATCAGAGAATAGAAGCTGTGCTCATAAAGAGTCCTTTGACAGAAGAAGAGGCAGAAAATATGCGGTTTCTGAAACTGTGGGTGTTCGCAAGTCCGAGGAATTCAGAAGAGCGCAATGATATGGTGACAGCGCGTTGCAGTACGTCGCTAACAATGAATTATCTGCTTCCAAGAAGTGGATGCTTCTGGTTGCTTGAGGGCTAGAACCACTATTACAGCTGTCTTTCTCGGACATCAATCGTTTGAGACGTGCACCTGAGATAGACCAGTTGTTTTTGCTACGTATCCCACCCAGAAATTTTTAACGTCCCGGTGACTCTCTATAGCTCTCCAGTTCAGCCAGGACTTGTGCATCCGTAGGGATGGTCAGTATTTCCATGGTTGGAGGTCATGCAGAAGAAACTTGAAACCAAATATTGCCAAGGCACGGTTTATCCCGTGGGCATGCAGTCGTACGAGCTAAAGTTGTACTAAAGTTGTTACAATGAGCATGACAGGCGCATTGACAGGCCGACGATGAGACCGTTGAAAGGATCCTTTAGAATTAAAGGAATCTCTTAGCATGCTATCCCTCAGACTACAAGGTTGTGCATGGGACCAATAGATAATGTATTTGAACATGGTAACTTCAAACCGAGGGGGCCAATAGGAATGTCGGCTACATAGGTGCCGTGCAGCTATGCCACCTAGAACTGTATAAATAGGAACTATAAGGCAGGCAGTTTGATCGATGTGGCAGCCCCCACTGTCCCAAATTCATTCTTAGCACTTCCATTCATGCTTTCTGTCTTTTTCCTCGGTATCTTTGTACTGACCTGGAGGCTGCTCCGGAAAGCTGCAGACCATCCTAGCGCATCATGGGTGTTATCAAGGAAACGTGGCGTTCCAAGTTAGATCGATGCGGCCGCGGATCAATTGATCCGCCCTCGTGATCTTATCGGTATCCGGTTGAAATCGCCCTTCAACAAAGTACAGTCATCCAGCGTAGAATGGGATCGGTAAGAAAGACCCTTCTTTGGCGCTATACGTCTCTCACCTTGGATAAAAAGGATATGTATAGAGAGCTTTCTGAGCTTCCGGTTCCGGTCGGGGCGCAGTTTCTTCACCCTGCTAATAGTAACTCAACCGGTAAGACGCTCTTGGTGCTAGCTTCTCTCTGGTGAAAGGTATATTTATCATCGCTGCATCGTCTAGGCATAGAAATCGCTACCTCGATCCGAGATCATGTTCGTAATTCCAAGCGCACTATGACAAAGTCCATCTACGCGTCACAGGGGACCATACGATCTTCACTGCCTCAAGATGTTAGCGATGTGGTACTTTCATCGCTTTCCCCCTCTCTAAAGTACCGTGCCATCCTGAGGTCGAAGGAAGGAAAACGTTTTATAGAATTATGGGTCGACGATAGATTATTACATCTAAAGGATGTGACAAGCCTTCATGGCGATTTCAGTGGAGATGGTGCGTTGCCATATTTAATCCATGAATCCGGATCTATCTCAAATCTTCCCTAGAATATCTCTCCTCTTTATCATTTTCGCCGAAAGAAGATTCGGTTATATATACTGCTGAAGCGAAGCCATCGGACACAGAGACCTTCCGATATATACCTTCGTTCGGGGAGGGACTGACTGCCAGGAAGACCCCGGTGCTGTTCGTTTACCATCCAGGAAACGATACCCTATCTCGCATTGCTTTTGATGGCCCAGTTATTTACGGCCAGGCGCTCTTTGGCCCCTTCACTGAATCCGAGACGCTATTTGCCACCGGTTACGAGCGTACATCCGACGATCGACTCCTCGGAATCAAGGGATGCTTCAATCGCCCCTCCGGTATTTGGAAAATAGAACTGTCCTCTCCGATCTCCAGCAATATTAATAAAGACTCAAAAGACAGTCTTCTCACCATAAAGCCCAAAAAAGCGACTAAACTCACCTCTAACACCCTTTCATGTCGATCTCTCCGCATCTACAATCAACATATTTTGGTCTGGATAGCCAATGCGTCAGGCGGACCTCACGCTTCTTGCTCCACTCTGCATTCCATGGACCTGACTTCGATCGAGGCGGGACAACCTCGGACGCTTGTGGAATCCGTTTGGGAGCCAAAAGAAGAAGATTTCCCCGGGCTTTACCTTGGGCCTGCGTTGGCGCGAGATCCATTTATCCTTCATCACGGAGATCCTTCTGTACTCGTTACGTCGATTTGGGGTTCTCGGAGCTCCATACTGCGTATATCTCTGACAACGGGGAGAGTGGAGAAAGCCCTTGATATCACAGACGACTGCGATGGCGAGTTTTGGAGTTACACCTTGCTGGCTGCTGACGGAAAGCAGCAGATGGTGTTCTTCCGCAGCTCGCCCAGGATTCCTTGCGAGCTGATCTTATATGACTATGACGTCTCCGGAATCGGAGAGAGCTGGACAGATCTAGCATCCTTTGGTCCAAGTTCTGCGGATAGTGAGTCATCTTCGTTAATCCTGATCCTTGATGATGATCTTATCGACCGCAGCCCTCCGAGCTCTTCAATCTTTAGATGTCCAGATTATCAAGATACCCGATCATTTCCCCGCTGAGACCATCGTTGTTCGACCTAAGGATCAAGCTAATCTTCCTTGCGTGATAAACCCGCATGGCGGACCTCATGCAACCACAACAACGGTCTTTGTACCTTCTACATCCGCTCTAGCAATCGAAGGCTGTGAGTTTCCCCCGTTCCCCGCAGCTTACATACATTACAAAGCTAAGCGTCCCTTCTCGATAGACGCGATCTCTCAGCCGAACTACACAGGTTCGCTTGGCTTCGGAGAGAAATACGTCAGAGCTCTTATGGGCCAATGCGGCACATTGGACGTATCAGACTGCATTGCATCAGTGCGACATATTTTATCCCTTGGCCTGGCCCAAGAGGGACCAGGGAAGCTATTCGTAATGGGAGGAAGTCACGGCGGCTTCCTCGCCGCTCATTGTACGTTCCCACAACCCACGAATTATAGCTGTTATTCACTCCCCCTTCTTCCCTCCCTACCTACCAGTGATAGGCCAGTACCCCGAAACGTTCACCTCAGCCGTCATGCGTAACCCGGTCATCTCGGCTGGCGACGTCTGGGGAAGTGATATCCCAGATTGGTACTTTAGTGAATTTGGTTATGACTTCCATATGTCACAGTCGCCGCCGTATACTGTTGGTTCGCGAGAATATGAGGCATTACAGCACGCATCGCCCGTATCGTACGTACAGGACGTGCGCGCTGCGGTGCTTCTGATGCTGGGTGGATCAGACCATCGAGTGAACCCGAAGCAAGGATTGGGATATTATCATGCCTTGAAAGGCAGAGAGGGGAACAGGAAAGTAGATTTGTTATGGTTTGATGGGGAGGGCCACCCCCTGGAAGGGGTCGAGGCTTCTCGGGTTGGATGGGAACGCACCCGGGATTGGTTCCAGTCTGCGTGAGTAGTAGCAAGCCGTTTTTGGGATCATTAGTGGGAGCAAATGGGTGGCTGTGACGTTTCTTGGACGTTAATGTGATTAAATAGTACCTTGCCGAGGTTCAATTATGGAGATGATGGCATAAATGTAGTAAGGGTCTTGTAAGGGTCACAGTCCCCGTTGGTACGTTCATTGTACCCGTCCATAAATCGTTGCTATGCAGTGAACTGGCCTTCCTTCGGTACCGCAGAGTCCCCATTGCCTTTCCTTCGTTCGGTTAGTGAAAGTCATGCAATGGCGAGATGAATTCGAAGGTGACACTCGGATAACTGAAGGATACTTCCATCAGATGTACAAGCGGAGTCTCACAGAAGATCCGGGCACTGTCCCGAACCATTTGTGTCTTCACGGCGTATCTGCCATATCACAGACGCCATATGCAAGCAATCGCTCTTCTTGCTCGATGAACCGAATTCAGAGACTCATCTTCATTTTGATGTTCGTCAAGAACAACATTCTGAACGAGCCAGGGTAGAATGACTTTCAAATGCCTTTTGTTCTTCTGATATTTCACGGAAGCAATAGCTACTTGTAGAACCGGACCGTAAACAAAGTCTTGGAGAAGCCATACCTACACCCGACAATGGACGTGATATTCCAACATTTGATCTACTGCTTTACAATATACACATTACACAAGGAGAACGGGCCGCACCATCAAGCACTTGATTTTAAGCGCTCCCGCGCACACTCTACGAAATCGTCAATGGTGGACGGCCATGCTTCTGTAGAATTATGTCAACAACTCGCGGAGCACGCAGGCGTGGAAAGTACTCGCCCTCCGCATCGTAGTTTTTAAACTCGGCATCGATGCTCCGTACAAAGTCCAAGAACTGGAAACGAGAAGTATCAGAAACCGCCGCAGTCAGACAACGAGGACAGACCATAGACCAAGTGTCCTTGCTGACACCTTTGCCACCTTTCGCTTCTAGATATTCAAACCACCATTGGGTATATTGGTCATTCCATCCTTGCTCTTCCGCACCCATATCAAGGTCGTCTTCATCAGTAGATGTCGTATGGGATAATGCGCCACCCTTCAAGCCATGGGGTAGGAGCAGAGCCCAGAACGCTTGTGCACTATCCATAGCTAGAAAATTGGACTTCAGCAAACAGTCCGGCGAAAAGACTGGTAGGACGAGGGCTTCAGGAGTATATCTTAGCTAGCCAATCGGCTTTCGAGATATCCTCCGGAAGCCCTGCAGATACTACCAGGTACAGCCCGGAAAAAGATTTGCGCGAGGCTGGATGCAGGCTGGATAGCTGAAGGATAGAAAGCACCTTCCGCAAAGTTCCCGCGGAAAACATCCATTACGATGGCTCTCGGTCTACAAAATGGACCTTTCACCCGGGAAAAACGCGGTATAAAAGCGTTTGCAGTCCGCCAGTCATACGTTGCAGCGACGAGGACACATACGCACGGTCCTCGGGGACTTGAGAAATATCCTGTCCAGCGGTTCATTCTACGCTTCAAGACAATCCCCAGCAGTCCCTATGCAACCTGGTCGATATACTGTTTCGGGCCAGACAAAATGTGCCGAGTTAAGCAGATAAACAAAGCATCCAAACATCTGAAATCCAGCGAAACGCGTTGACAATTTCGCGGGGGTCAAGACGCTGGATCACATGTTTAACACCTGTCGAAACCATCCCCTTTTGTATCTCTCTTTGACTGGCACGAAATAGCTGAGAACCGAGAAGTGCAAGCACATCTACGATTTCATCGCTGCAGCCAGACTGGCTTGGCCTGCGATAAAAAGTAGGTGTGCTAGTTGAAAGAGCAGGACAACGGCACCATAACAATGAAATGAAGGGGGGTTACTAGAAAATGTGACGAACCTAGACTCCTCTGACCCTCTGACTTTCCGAAATCAAACGTGTGACTGTAGACTTTGCGAAAATAATCCGGGTCGGAAGAGAGTTTGTGGCTGAGCCTCGGTAGCGATGCCTTCATGTCTGGTATATTATCGCATCTACAATGATGAAAGGGTTAAGCCGAACACAAGGGAGTCTTTATACTTCTTACCCAAGGTTCTTCCATCCTTCCAACCAGCCTGGTCTCCCCCATTCGCCCAACCTTTTTGACTTCAGCTCATACGCTACGGAAAGCAGCACAACGTCATCCAGCTTGACAACGAGGTCTTCGCAGAATTTAATCGTCCCGTCAATTGTTATCTCATCGCTGTCGGGATCTGCTTGGCCGTTCAGTGGGATCTACGTAAATCCATGGAGAACGCACCTTTGTACTTGTCGAACAAGGCATTTAATTTACTCGTAATCGTTGCCGTGGTTGGCACTCCGCTGGCACGATGCGAGATAGGATCACTAAAATACGCATCCAAAGCTGCGTCGAGACGCCTGTATCTGTCTAGGTATTTCTTGGCATCTTTGGCTCTGGAATGTTGAATCTTAGTGTTTATCTATTTCGAATATATTAGACACGCACGATGCTCCCGTAACACTGCAAAATTGAGCAGTTGTTTCGTCTGACATCTTCTTTGTAAATCTGGTACTTTTCTACCGGAACCTCATTAGGACTACACACTGCGGAAAGATAAAACTATACTTACCATCCTACGTGTATAGTACAAGATCAAGGCAAAGAGAAGGGCGACGACGGCAACGATGGACGAGAAAGGCGTGCTGGGGGTAATCTGATTCGTTTGCATAAGTGACAGCGTGACAAAGATGTGACACGGCAAAGCGGTCCGAGTTAACCGGCCAGTTTGATCGACGAGTCTTGATTCCCGGATCCATCTTTTCGCCATTGGAGCACCTGGACCAATTTCTTTCGTTACGAGTGGCGGAACGGTTCATCACGCTAGCAGAGGATGGGGGGGGGGCCTGCTCTATTGCTCATATGGCTCTATGAAAGAGTGCCTGAGGTTCATAGCACCATCATCGAATTAAATCTGGACCTGGCTATGGCATCTCTATGGAGCTTTATGGACTTCCGACACGTCGGGGAAACGCCTTACCCCGCCTGGTGAACACGAGGTCTGGCTTTTATTTAATCGCCGACGTTTGTTCTGTACGGCCTTCCGTAGTCAAATTTCCTTACAGCCTGTTTCCAGGCCAGTCCTTGGTATGCATCTACAGCCGCCCTGCATGCTGGTTTGCTGAGCAGATCTATCATAGGACCAATTCCGCCATTGGCATGTCGCATTTCACAGATCACTGATCAACGAACACGTTGCCGATGCACTGGCTTGCTGCCTCTTTGACGTCGTCGTCGACACGGTTCAATATGTCAGTATCATAGCAGCTTTCATCGGGGCTTTCATTTCGCATAAGTGAATGCCTGACAGATGATGCTTGTCGTCATGCCACGTATTCTTTCTGTCCATCTAACTCGGCACTTGGACTTGATCCATCAGTTTCTCAGTCCGACACCAGTGGATCCCCCTTTTGGCACGGAGCAGCACATATCCATGGCGCCCATTGCCGTCGCGACCTCGGTCCGACCCTCCTCCAATGTCTGACAGTTGTTGTTAATTATACACGATCGTGTTGCATGTTGCGGACCTGCACGCCATCATACGTGATCATCTTCTGTCTCCATATAGGTACAGGCCTTCTTGGGAACGCCCATTGTACCGGACCTGCAATGTCTCTAGTCCAGTAATGTAAGCTCTTCCCACTGCCTTCAGCGTTCACCAAGTTGAATTTATACATATATCGTCCAATCAAAAACAAGGGTCGCAAACTGCCAGATATCCACTAGTGCCTTTCTAACCCTGGCTCTCTGTCTGATAAGAGCAAACTCTTGCGTCAGCTTTTGTGTCGGCTATCATTGATACTGAGGTGAGATCGAGATACTATTTTACCTGCCAAAGAGTTGACATTGGTCTACTGATAGGATCCCGTACATTTGACAGACAGTGTAAAGTTCATTGCGTCAAGGCTCCCGACACAGCGCATTGGAATAACACACATATAGATGCCGCGATACCCCCTCCTCACGACCCGGTCCCGAAACTAGTCTCTCACGCCATAGCCGCTCCACAGTCAGCTCCACATCCGCCACGCGTCTGAAAGTCAAGTCACTCACGCCGTCTGCCTATCACTTTTCCCGGGTCCAGACTTGTCTTAGACAATGTCATACCTCCGCAACTCAAGCTCCTGGTCACGCTCATGGCACATGCTGCAGATCCCCAGGCTCACGACTTCTCTTCCCTTCCAGACATGCACCCACGCGCATCCCTTTCAATCGTTGCATCTTCCCCCAGGTAGTGTTCCCAGTTGCGCGATCAACGGAATCAATTCCCTCAAGCTAACGCCAGGCTATTTCTCATACGCCTCACGAATTCAGGCAGAATGCTGTTAATAGTCAGTCAAACCTGGGACTGCATCCGCTTGTTCTATAGGATTTGTCACCCTTATACTAGGTTATTGATTTTCGAAACGTCAGTCAAACCTCGGGCAGCAGATAACTAAAGACGGGGTGTTCTTTCAAGCGTTGTAGCCGCGTGGCTGATGAATTGCGAAGGCAAGACAGAGATCCGAGGTAAAAGAAGGTATTCGTTCATTGTATACGGTATTTCCTAGGTGCCGGAGAATTGGCGGGAGCGGTGTGAGTGAGAACGGGAATACCGGGTCTTGGGAATGGGGAAGGGGAAGTGGGGAAAAGGGGAACTCGAGTTGAACAGAATCCGTCAAACCTGGACATTACGAACCCGGAAACTTCATGGGCGCATTGCGGCGGGTGGATCGCTTGGGGAATTCGGTCATCGGAAGAAGACATTTTCGCCTCATGGCGCGGTATTATATGTTTCTTGCTTAACATGACTAGCCTTTGGAATAAAAACGACCTTCCAAGCCAGCATTGCACTCAATCAGCATGTTCTGCGGGTCCTGGATCGAATCGGATCGACGCACTGAACCTGTCACTGAAAGCGAAGACGTCACGGTTCTCAATGAGGTATGATATAAATCTCCCAGTTGGCAAGCGCGGCGCTCTGCTAGTCTTATTGGTTTCTGAGTCCGCCAAAAGGCACCGACCACCGGAAGCAAATCGATATTTTTTCACCGTCTCAAGAGATCTTCTTTTTAAGCGGGTCTTTCCGGTTCCTTTGCCCCGCAGACTTGACCGCAAAAGGCGCGACCGAAAAGGGTTTCGATCATGATCTTGCGTCCAACGATCAAATGACATTGGCATCTGATGGAGGGATAGTCCGAGGCCCTGGCGTCTTCTCGACATTTTCGATGAATGAATGCTTTAAATATATGATATGGCGTGGGTATACAGATACTATAGCTACGAACGGTGCAACAAATGGGGGAGGGATATGGATAGCGAGTCATATTACTAGTGATAACGTGTAGGCATTAGCAAGTTAAGACAGCAAGTAGATAGAAATAGCTGGGCGTCATCGCGAGACGTGTGTCATACCGGGACATGAAATACATGAATGAAAGGAGGCAGGCTCACTCGTAATGGAACCAAGCCATTAAAAAAGAGAAGAAATCAGGATCAGAGTCGTAGAAGTGGAGCGTTGACAAAACCGCCGATATTAATGGGCCCACGATGATGATGATGGTGATGGAAGTAAAACACATCAATTCCGTACAATGACCCGTCTAGTGTGTTTACCTGCTCGCCGTCGCTCGGCGTACGGCATTGGTCGCTTCCATGATTCGTCGGGATCTCCGCCTTCATCCGGGAACTCGACCTTTGTCTGGGCACCGGGAGGGGTGGGATCAGGGTGGAGTGTCTTTGGGGTAGAAGATGCATGTGGGAAGAGGGGGGAAGGAGTCACGGGCACCGGGCCGTTACGCTGAGATGATCTGGAGGATGGGGGGTATGCAGCTGATGATGACGGTGAGTGATTTGGATGAGGCGGAGCGCCGACGACCCCCAGGGAGGGCGACTGCCCTGAAGGGGGCGGCCAAGACCTAGGGCCACCTGGGTCTCGCACCGCTGTGCGAGACTTGTCATCGCGCATGGTTGCTGCGTGAGACGGGATATCGACCTCTACATGCACACGAACGATTTCCGCCCCTGCTTGAGCAAAAAAGGCCCTCTCCTGTCGCTGAAAGTATCCGCTGGTAGGCTCCGAACGATGTGGAATGACCGAAGGCGGTGCAGGGGGAAACATTGCCATTAAATCATGGCCTGTAGGAGGTGCGGGATATTTACGAGGATTCACATCTGGATGGTGAGTCAGATCTACATCTACAAAGAAATAATTCATCAGGAGACTGCCTTGAGATAAATTAAATAAAAATCGTACCGCGTAATGACGAGGGGGAAAGAGGACGACGCGATCGACTCGAAACGGAAGCTGATGATGGCGGCGACGGAAGCAAAAGGCCAGAGCGGGAGCGGGAAGACTCGGCAGTAGGAGAAGTAGATGCGGACGATGCAGGTGAGTCGTCGACAGGACGGAGGTGGTAGGAAGCGGACATGGTGAAGCGAGGCAAGGGCGAGAAAGAGCACAGCAGGTGGAATACTTATAAGGGACTGGCAATGATGATCGCAAGGAAGAAGCGGGTATCCAAGATCCAATTGAGCATTCTTAATATGAAAAAGAAATTACCTAATCCGCTACTCAGGTTCAGCCCTGCTGAGAGCTTCCGCTTCGGCTACGGTTGATGCTGCCAAGTTTCCCCACAGGCCATCGGATTGAAATCAAGGAATCAGCCCTTGCCAATCATCAACTACAGAAGTCTTGTGCTACGTATCCAGGGATGTCGTAAAACTCATTATGTTACCCCTGCTGTAATGCCAAAATTATCATTCGAATCCATATGCCCGTTGCGTCTTCGGCTCCTCCGATTGTGCTGAGATCTTCTTGCTTCTCTTCCTACGGTTATTACACCTCACCGGCCTTTCATCCTGTGATACCCGATCTTCCAAATCCTGGCCTGACTAGGGCTAACTCTCCGATACATGAGGTAGGTCACTGCTCATCAGCCTCCATCGTAAAGGGTAAAAATACTTCCAAGTTCCGTCCATCGCCGGCAGTCAACTTGAACGTTCGTAGCCCAATGGAACTGAACTTTTCTGCATTGTGGGGTATTTAAAGCGTCAATGTTAAGGTCCTTACGAGAAAGCTTCCCGAAAGTCTAAGCCAGAAACTCGATCCCACCCGTAGAACACGAGTTCATGATATGATGCGCTTCTGCTCGTCATAAACCATCGAAGGGCTGACCAGGTGGACCACCTTGCGACATGTGATTCGACATTCACCGCACCCCCCAGAATCTTCGTCAGCCAATATAAATATCTCTGGAAGGAAATCCCATTCACCAGAGAGGGCTTTGGTGGAGCCGATATCACTGGAGGGGACAGTTTTCCTACAATCCAGGACAAGGGATCTAGACGATGCGGCGTTTCATTTTTTTTAATGTTTTGCGCTGAATTGGTTGATCAGTTCTGCATCCGCCAGGAGGTCTTTTTTTCAACAACGGAAGGGAAGAGGAAGTCTGGAGCGATCCGATCTTTGAAAACCCGGTATCCGATACAGACGGCGTGCGGCCTAGCTGGACGATAGATTCCCGCAAATAACAATGATCTGGAGTGTCATGTATCCGACCTTGTTCCTGTGTAAGGGAGCTTGTATTAATGGATGACGCTGGCATGATCAATAATTCACTCATCGTCTCCGAGATCTACGCGAGGGGAAATAAAAAGGAAAATACCAGATTTGATACCATGTCAAATCGATGACTTGGAGGGGAGTCACAGTCAATTTGTCAAAGGGTCGACGGCCTGTCCGATCAAATGCGATCTAAAGAATAAAATTGATGGGTATTTAAGCCGTCGTAGCGTAATGGTAGCGCGTCGCTTTCCTATGTTGGGATCTCAGGCGAAGGTTGTGAGTTCGATCCTCACCGTCGGTATTGCGCGGTTCTGTATCGTTTTTCTCCGTCACTGTCTGGCAGTTCAATGGAGTTACCCAGAAGTATGAGGCAGTTGGGCGTACTACACGGCCGACATACCAGACTCCAACAGTCGCGTGAAACTGAGGTGTTGGACGACTATATTTTCTTAAAGCCAATAACAGTCAACACGCCGCAGCAGGTTACGTTACTACTGAACGTCAAGAAAAACATAAGAAAGACCGCTAACTGGTGTGCTGTATCTCTCCCTGACATGTCCCAGTGAAGGCCTATAGATAAGCTATACCATCTTCAATCAGAACATGCCGTTTTCTTAGATTTATCGTTCAAGAAGATGAAAACCGTATTGGTGATACCTGCAGAACCTGACCCGGAACAACTGCGAGAGCATAGACACAAAAAGCAACGGGTACTGTCATTTGGTGTACTCGGAATTGGCTATGAATGTTAACAATCAGAACACGGACCGGCGCCGACACACGCACAGAAGGATTTGATGAAGAACGCAAGGAAGAACTACCTTGGCATCAAACAACATGCGGGCAAGGCGCTATGGATAAAAGCCTGCGAACTTCGAAGAAGTGATCATTGCAGCCGAAGACAATTTCTGATTATGTTCAAAGAAAATAAATATTGAGTTGTCAATATATGGTTATCAAGGGTAAGTGGAGAGTGGTGAAATTAGCATGCGATACATGCGAGGCGACCACCTGCTTGCTGGATGCTCGTTGCATTCGAAAAATCAGTGCAAGACCATATCAGCGTGCAATAACATCAATCGACTCATGATTTTCTCTCCCGTCAGTCCAATCAGCGAGTTATTCTCATGTCATTTATGCGTGAAAGGTGAAGTAGGTGTGTAAGACATTTATCAGGAACAGACGGAATGATAAATCGACATGGTGGGACCTCCAGGTGAAGGGGGGGAACTGGAAGGGAACGTCCCACGAAGTCTCACGTCCGATAAGGTATCATCATAAAAGATTTTCTCTACAGCAACTGGAGGTTGCCGAAGTCAACAGGAACCGTGAACCAGTAGAAAAAGTAAGTAACACACACCTAAGTGCCGGGGAACCTATAAAAGAAAATCCGAAAACACAACGAGAACAACCGAAGTGTGAACGTCAGATGCGTGACGAGCGAGGGAGGGGAAAAAGTTTGTAAATGGGGCACAGGAGGCTCAAGCGAGGCTTTTTAAACAACGGCTTTGGACCCAGAAGATCCCGCGCGATTGGAGGAAGATGGCCGAAAAGGAAGTCTTTACATTGTGCCTTTTTCCTTTACGAGAATTGACATGAATAGAGCCCCGTAGCAGGAGAAAGAAGAAGAGGAAGAAGAGGGCTCATCCGTAACGCCAGCATCGGTGGTCGGAAATGAAGTTGTTTCCTGGAAACTGGATGTCGAGATTCCAAAGTGAAAGGGGAAGAGGGTAAAGATCAGAAGGGAGGGGGTGGGCTAGTCCAATTTTTTGGTTTCGTGACTCATCGGAATTCGTTTCTCCTTCGTTGTTATCACCCTCAAAGATCCTCCAGAGCTCGAAAAGGGTGGGAAGGGAACAGTTCCGTACGTCGAGAATGCCGTGAGATTGTGGGTAGGCAGCAGTTGCGGATACAAATGTGTGGTGACTAGAGAGAGGAAAGAGTCGAGGGCTTACCCGGCGTTCTAGTTCGTATAGCTGTGCCCTTGCTCAGGGACGTTCAGATTTGGTCCGTTAGTCATTTGGGATTGAATTAACCTTTGGCGTCTATGACAATCGTAAGTGTCTCCTAGGTATACGACAGCAAGTTTAAACAAAAGTTAAACGTCCCTATGCAAATCAATGACAGGATTAGTATAACAACAATTGGGTACCGGTGAATACAAGTACAATATTGACTTTGTTAAATCTACAGTCAAAGTAAATGATGATAAGTTACGGATAGATCAAGCTCCAATGTCCGTTTCCCGTCATCCGTCCTAAAGAATACCGAATGAAAAAAGCCGAAAAAAAAGGACGAATCACAGCGGAGAAATAGACCCCGGGGTGTATTGCACGATTGTCGGGGGTGTCTCCACCACTGGACTAGCACTTCCACTCCCCGCAGTATAATACGATATCGTACTCGTCGCTGAAGGCTGACTCCCACTGGTGCTTGCACTGCCCTGTGTATCCACGTGGTCAGCAACAATCTCCCCGAGTTCCCCGCATGCACTTATAAGCAAACTATTCGACCGGCTCGGTGGCTCGCTCGAAAGGGGATGGGTGTTTCGCGTTGGCGGTCGACTGAATGAGGTCATCCGCTCAATAGTGTGCAGACTCGATGTCGTGCCCATCTCGCGCGAGCCGATACTCTCAATCGTAGGCATCCGGCGTACGTACCCTCCCAGTACCCGAACATGATCGTCCGGTGGATAGGGTCTTCCAAATTCGTCATATCCAATGGCAGCAGAGTACGAGTACGAACTCGCCATGCTCTCGGAATGAGAACTCGAAGAACCATCAGGACGAGCGTATTCTAGGCCTTCATCGGTCTCTCGGCTGATTTGGGATACGAGTGAATGGAATCGATCGACAAAGTGGTAGAGATCACGGTCATTGTCAGAAACCGTTGGAAGGGGAGGTGTCGGGGTTTTTGGGGTGGCGCTTGAACTAGATGCACGAGATTTTTCGCCGCTAGGAATAGGTCTATGATGGGCATTGTGGGTTTCCGTGGAGGATGAGTCTTCCTCCGATGAAGGGGAATCGGAGACAGGAACGCTTCTTATCGATGTATTGCGTGAGCTTCGCAAAGATTTCTGCATTCGCGGCGAGGATGTGATAGTAGAGGTGGAGCATAAATGTGGATTAGAAGACCGAGTGGTGGGCGCGGTATGAAAGGAAGCAGCCATAAGGGGAGAGGAAGACATGGATTGATCGACTGATTCGGGGTTAGCGAGGTGGTGGCGGCGGCGCCTGCGTTTGCGGGCTCTTTGGGAGGGCCGGCGAGTAACCTGGTAGGCAGAAGAAGACAAGTTGTAAGGAATCTAGATATAGAGATGAGTACGTGAATACGGCGAGCCAGTGTGAGAATGGACTTGCAATGATAGCCAAAGTAATGAAGATGCGAAGGATAGACAAGCCAAGCCAGGACGCCCAATCGTGTGTTCTGCCCTGACACGTTGAGCTTGACGCTGACACGGCCCAAACAACATCAAGGTCGAGCCCACATCGCTGTGACAAGCTTAGCTCAGGTTCTTCGGGGACATTTTGCCAAACGAATGTTAATGCAAACGCGACGATCGCAGGTCCCAACAGGAATATAGATGCGAGGAAGCGAAATATAGTTCGTGTGAGGAGAATTGAATGTAGATCGACGTGAGCGCGAATCAACTGTGTCTGGCAAAAAGATACGATGAAACGACATAACAAAAAGGTCGCGGAGACAGCTGTACTGGTCCCTAGGGCAAGAGAAACGTCTTGACCGGTGATAGACTGGTAAAACGCAAATGCCAGAAAATACCGGATGGCGCTGTATATGGCCCAGGCACCTAGAACATATTAGCGAGACGTCACAGGACGGCATTTGAGACCCACCCATGATCATTTCAAAGATTAACACGGTTAGCTTCAGGACCTTTAAACGCCGGCGAACAGCCTTTTCCCAATACCCCTTGCGTTCCCTCAATGTTGGTGTATAGTCAAGGGTTAATCCCATATCCCACCCCGGGCTCGGACCAGTGGGATGAGCTGGCTGTCGCTCCAGGAGGTCGAGATACGCTGAACCAGAGTACAAAGGGTCCAGTAGCGGTTCCGTCGGATGAGAGTTTTCCGAAGCGATGGTCCTCAGCGTCGCCGTCGAAATTGTCCGTGAATGTGAAGGTGGCAACTCTGCTGGCTCGGGGGAGAAAATTGCATTATGAAGGTATAATGCAGCCATTTAAGAGTTGACCGCCGACATCCAGAGCGCTCGAACGGCTGCAGTGGATTGATTAGCTAGAAGATGGTGGTTAGCGAACAGGACAGCGTTGCGAAAAAAAAAATTTGAGAAATATACTGTGTGATGTCTCCGAACAGTACAAGTGGAGTAGTTGCAGAATATTCTGAGAGGTCGTCAGATTTGGATCAAATTCGGGTCAGAATTAGAATTTGAATGTTGTGATGGAGAAGGCAGTGACAACGATTGCTTTTGTTTGGTAAACGCGTCGTCACCTGACCTGACGCGATCGAATCCCGCGTCGGGATTGTCGGTGGTCCGGCGATCAGTGTCTCGCCTCGTACAACTTGTCTTGTCCTTTGCCAGGATCCTGGACTTTTGGTAGATATCCCGAAGGAAGGAAGGGGGGGAAGGTGCAGAACTACACTCACGCCGCAGAGGTGGAGTTATGATCATTGATCAGGAATGAAATGTCTGCTTTCGCAACGGGGAAATGATTGAGGACATTGATGGCAATGTGAGTAAGACCTTGGTATTGGATTGCGTACATCAGTATTAAAATAGCCAAAAGGCTGTTCATACTACTCACGATAAGTCTTGTGCTTCTGTATAGTAATACGACCGTCGGAGCCCTGTGAAACCCGTCGACCTTGACGATACAGTTCCTCGTCATCATGGTTATTGATGATGAATACGTGAATCAAGCCTCCAGCCAGGAGGCGACATAGTGTCTGTATCGATTACGCAGGGGATGACGAAGACCGATTGTATTATTGCACTGCCTAGTCGATTAATCCACGCGAGTGCGGCCGGAGCGACAATACTCCTATCATCGTGGACGCAAAGAGATTGGAAGGGAGAAAGAAAGAAAAAAAGACATGGGATGGTTGAGACCGTTGTGGTAGGGACACAAGATACCCAAAAAAAAACAGCCCCAACCATGATGAGTCCAGAGGGCCCTCTAAAAGCGCGCACGTCCGCGACGATAACACGGCTCTGCCAATGAAAAGGAATGGAAAATTCGGGGGTTTCATGAATTTGACAACTGACAGTATATAGTCACATTGACCAGAAAGGGTAATGGCCGCCCACATATTTATATAGACGATATACTTAGTGTCTAAGGCGATTGAAATACCTTTGAAGATCTCAGCTACATGCGGATTAATAAATGAGACCAGATGACGTACCAGTGTATTTTCTCTCAAGTGGGAAGAGAAACTTTGTATACAAGGCAATATAAAGGCCATTTGCGTGAATACAGACATCACGACAACTAGCACCCGTACCAATAGAGACGGCCAAGTCCAGGCCTGATTTTTTTTTTTCCCTCTTTTGCTGAGGAAAGATGTTTCGGTGGGTTCAACGATTACGGCGACTCGAAAATGCATCCTGCGCAGAGGGAAACAATGCCATAAAATAGCACACGCAAATGCAGGATCACGTCCTGACTCTCAAATATAGAGCACCATCCGACATCCCCAGTAAAACAGTTTTAAAAAAAGGTGTACAGTGTGCACCTGGCGTGAGATCTGCGCGCAGCACCGTGGACATCGATGTCGAGAACAATGATCCGTCCGGCAAAGTCCGAGCAACAAACCTTTGATCCCAAGCATGTGAACAACGACCCGATTTCACAGCTGGTAACACGCATTCCAGTCCACGACCCACTTTCACGGTTACTAAAACCAGATATATTTTCATCAGAGATACACACAAAACCATACACAAAGAACACGAAACCGAAAGCTAAAAAAACAGAGACAGATATATGTAATATGGACAACAAGTGCGGTGGGTGGGGGTGGGAGGCGGGATGGGATGGTTATCACGGGATGAAATGCAATAATATGGCGTACAGTTGAAAATAAAACCGGATGATGATGGGATAATACATATGAGCATGTTGGAGGGCATGCAGGCGAGTTAGTAGCAGGGGGGCTAAAGTAAGATTCCTTTTCCATGTCAGCATCCATTCCCCCTCAGTGCTTAGCCCACTTGCCTGTCGGAGGCGATGTCCAGGCAGAGACCAATTCGTCAGTCTGAACGACAAGTTCTGGAAGAACGTCCTCCTCTTCATTGTCGCTGTCTGAATCGGAATTGGTATCTTCAACAGCGGCAGCAACGGGCTCAGGCTCAGGCTCTTGCTCTTCGGGTTCCGGCTCCGGCGGAGGAGTAGGCACTTCTATGACAATGGCTTCTTCCATTACAGGCGCCTGCACCTCAGTCTCAGCAGCGGCAGCGGCAGCAGCTTGCTCTCTCTCCTTGTCCTTCTCCTCCCTCTCCTTCAACTCCTTCTTCAACTTCTCCAGCTCCTCCTTCTCCAGTTCCAGCTGCTTCTTCTTCTCGTCCTCCTTGTCCTTCTTCTTCTTATCCTTCCGCTCCTTCTCCTCCTTCTCCCGCTTCTCTTTCTCGACCTGCAGCCTCACCTTCATCTCGCGCTCGCTCACAACCCACTCTGCCGCCTCATCCGCCGCCTTGTCAGGGTTGCTCTTGTGCTTGAGCAAATACCCCTGCAACGCCGCAACACTGAACTCCTCCTCCGGGATAGCATCTGCGAACTTCTTGGCCAACAAAGCAAGCTTGGCGCCGTCCAACGGCTTCGCAGAGTGCTGGCTGCTCGCAATATGCTCCTCTACCGGCGGGGGCAGGTACGCTTGGTTGTTGGCGCCAAACTGGGGTAGCACCTTGCTGCTCTTGGATGTAGCGCTGGAATTGTTCTTCGGCGAAGGAGGCAGCGACGATGTCGACGACGCAAAGGAAGGCGAAAGGGACCACAATGTCGACGAGCCTGAACTAGGCGTCTGCGGAGGTGACGGGATATTAATCCCTTCAAGCTCAGCTTCGTCCATGTCACTCAGCGTGGACCCGGGAGGGGGGGCACCATCACAGGAAGCAGCAGGCTCTTCCACTGAGGGGAAGAAATTCCGGAAGAGCGCCTCAGCCTGCCATTTGGACGCGTTTTTGAATTCGATCCAGACATCCATACGACCCGGTCGGGAAAGAGCGGGGTCGAGGCGCTCAAGGTGATTTGTTGTCCTATCCAAAGCCGTACAGTCAGTACCAGTATTTTGGGGAACAGATGGGAATAGGCTTACGCAAAGAGTAGCCTACCTTCTGCCGCCGCCACACCATCTAGTGCGTTCAACAAGCCACTCAAACTCAGTGTGTTGACATCGGATAGCTGGTCTCTCTGATGCCTCCTGCGACCGGTGGATGGGACGGCTGGCGTTGTGGTGTTGGTCTGGTCATTGTCACCCTCGTTGTTGTTTCCTTCGGGGTTACCACTCGAGTTCTTGTCCCTCGACACGCTTCTGGTAAAGGCGGCGTCCAGATCTTCTAGAAGAAGGATACACCGCGACGGGACACGTCCCATCAACGTCGTTAACGTACTGTCGCTTATCCACGAGGAAGATAGGGACACGACGTAAATGTCCAGCATGAGCTCGCCTGCTATGGCGTGTATAAGCGACGATTTTCCGGATCCGGGGACACCATGGAGAAGATAGCCTCGGCGGAAGGGAATGCCACGATCAGCGTACCACTGCAACCTCGGTGAGTACAAATCGCGTCAAGGACAGAGAACTAACGCACCTGCTCCGACTTTAAAAAATCCCGCGTGTCACCAAGAAGCATCTCCTTGACGCCTGGATTGAGGACAATAGAGCCCATAGGACGTTTATGCCGTGAATCCGTCCAACGCCAGCTTCCATGGGAATCAGCGAAATAGATTTGAATGCGATGAACAGCTTCTGCTTCGTATTCCCGCTTAGCCTGGAGGACTAGCTGTTTTAGGATGGAATTATTGCGGGCGACAACGCTGGGAACGCCTAATGAGCGGAGCGGCAGAAGAAGGAAAGAGAAGTTAAGCACCTGATGGACAAGACCTCGCATCCGCTGCCATCATTCTTCCTGCCTCTCCTGATGCGTAACCAGTGACCCCTATAAAATATGGTATGTGTCGTGTCAAACGTCGGCTGGAATACGACTCGTGTCTTGACCCTCCCAGGTTCGTCTTCTTCATCATCCTCGTCTTCCTCATCGCCAAAAGAATTATCAGCGGTCCGAGCAAAACCAGAAGAAGAACGAGTGGTGGTCTCAAACTCCCTTGACCGCTGCCATTCTGGCTGTCGTGAGAGCCAGAGCATTAGCCAGTCGTAGGGATAGTCTTCTTCCGAGAAGTGTGCCGTAAGGAAGAAGGCTAGAATGTGAATGGTCAATTAGGATACAATAGTGCAGGATAGAGAAGCATGATAAGATATAGAACCCGGTGCGGCTCCGACCGCATCTTCCAAGGAAAGTGGAATCGGATAAACAACCGTGCCATAGGAACGCTGAATACGACGGGCCTGCACTCGTGGAGGGCACACTCCTGAGGTGAGGCTCCCATGCGACCGCAGAGAAGCCAGGAGAGACAAAAAGAGAGGAGACACTCACAGTTGACGAAATGTGACCTGAAGCGCCAACGCAAAGATTAAGCGACGACAATGAACGGCGGGCGCTAATGACTCACCAAGCAGAACTCGATACTCGTCTAGCGGTCTCGACTGTTCCCCCCAGGACGACAAGCTTCATACCGTCAATGACCGACGACCCGGCGGCGCCGCCTACGAGAGGCTGAACAAGTGATTTGAGAGCGTCCATGGAAGTGGAAAGCAAGGCAGAAAGGGACTTGGATTTGGTGATCCAATATCGCGAAGAAGGAAGGGGGCGGTGGGTAACACAGGTTGGAAAAGCTGGAAGGTGAGATAGTAGGCAGTTAAGAGAAACAAATAGGAGGCTGAGGTCGATGGTGACTGTGGGCTCGGATCCGGGCAGCACCTTTCGAGGCAAGTCAGGACGCGTCAGCAGGTGTCAGACCTGAAATTGAAAACGTGTGCGCGGAGTCTGAATGCAGCAGCGCCACTCCGGCTGATGATCTCAACTCACCTTGTGCTTCCCTTTCACTGGCAGATCCACCATTAATTATCCATAACATTTGCCCCCCTCGTTTACAAGGATATTCATTCACGAACCCTCAAATTATGGCCCCTCAAAGTGGTATTGGTCAGATGCCAAATGACGCTAACTAGATACAAAAAGCAGCGCCCCACGCCGCAAAACCTTATTGCAAGATTCCATCCAAGATGATGCAAGAAACGGGTGAAAGATTCTGACAGAGAACGATGAGAAGTCCCGTCTGATGCTGAGAAAGAACCAGCCAAGACATCAAAAGCATTCACGGGCGGAAGAAGAGATCACCCCACGGCGACAAACACATAAGGACGCCGCGCCGCGCCCATGAAAAGCCACTGAAGGCGGTACTCCGGACATGGACACCTTCATAGTGGTTACCGCGCGCCAATTGCACCACACGGCCAATGTATACCCACTGCAAGTGTAGATGCGTCGTTATGGCGATCCAGGAATGAAATCAGTCAGTCCATCTTCGAATCCATTAATATCTGGTGAATTCATTCATGATGATCCATCCGTACGCATCTGGGCCCAACGAATGACAGAGGTAATGGAGAAGCGGGGACCTCAATAGCGCTCATTACCATGGCCACGGAGCATCACTCGACCAATCTGCTCCATGGAGACTTGCACTGTCGACTCCGATCCAGTGAACGGGTGAACGATACTCCTGGACAGCTTAAAATGAGGCAAACGTGAGGTTGAGCGTCCCTGCGCCAACACCCGACATTCAAAGAATTGGTCGCGATTACTGTCAGCATTCAGGTAACCGTTGAGGAACAAGGCTGTGCCTATAGGATATATGCAAGAGGAACGATAGACAGACGACGTGTCAGTCACTAAGAACCTATTCTGCATCTCATCATTGGGAGCCGGACTCCGATCCAGTGGATAGAAGAGCGGAACTCCTGGACGGCTCAGAATGAGGCAAACGCGAGGCCGAGTCTTTACAGCACCCGAGCACGCAAGAAGAGATAGGTCCTGGGCGAGGTCTCCGACAAGGAGTAAGGCGGTTCCTATACAATATATGCAAATAAACGAAAGATAGACGACGCATGACTCACCGTAGGGCTCTAGAGTGTCTCCCCCGAAAAGAGTCCTAGAAAAGCCATACCGAGATGATTAGATTTCCAAAGGTGCATGTAAACGACGAGGTTGACAAGGTCGCCACGGAGCTTCAAATGGCTCCACAGGAAACGGGCGACAGCAAGGTGGATATGAGGGCCAAGACAGAGAAGTATGTGGCCATCATAAACTGTGAACATACCAAGCTCACTTGCACGGCATATGCTGTGCTGTATGACTTGTTGGTTGACTGTAGGCGCACAGAAGTTGTCAGACCCGTAACCACTTCTTCCTGAACTGAATGCATCGAGCACAAAAGGACTTCCACAACGGCTGGTGTACATGACTCCTTCGCGCCGTCTCGGGCAGTCGTCACACATATTATTCCAGCACGCTCATCATTCGATCTCTAGCGTCGCGGTCGCACCGGGAATGGTACAAGCTGCATGCTGTTGATACAGAAAACCATTCTCGCTCGCAGAAAAGAAGACGTTATCCAAGACAGTATCGTCCTGCATCGAAACGCTATCGTCCGCCGCCATGAATTTGAACGTGGTCGCTCGCGGTTGCCCGAAGGTCAGCGTCCTCCCCGACGAGGATTTTGGCCGATGGTAGAACTATGGATCACCCAAGTCAGGCAGGTGGCAGATTGAGGATGGACGCAAGGCTTACCCGAACACGAGAACCGACACCAGGACCTTGGTCGGTGTTCAGAGATATCGTCCCACGGGATGGATCGCCAGCGGTTATTGCGTATGCCTACCAAACCGAATAAGCAAGCTAGAGAAGCCTAAAAAAAGAGTATATACTAACGATTTGCGTCTCCTCCGACATCAGATAAAATTCCTCCTCGGGGTCTAATGACGTGACAGCCAGATTATGCTCTCGTATAGCTGAGAGCAACAGCTGGCTAGGATTCTGCCGGTCAAGCGTGTTCACCAAGTTGCCCTCGCTCTCCGAAACAGTCATGGTTGAGGACAGGGACACGAGCCCGTGATAATCGAGCATGGAACGGACATTCTTTGCGTGGGACAACGCAACGCCAACCGCTCCCGATTCCCATATCCGCTGGTTCCGAAAGAGCGTCACAGGGCGTCCGGTGATAAACGGCGTAGAGGTAGGGACAAGACCTATCTGCTCTTCTTAAATTGGCATTCGCATTTGAGCCCCTCGACAAGGAAAACGTACCTTTGAGGCGGTGGGGAAATTCGCATGTAATGAGCTTCTTAATCCCTCGGGAGACGCATCCGAAAAGTAAATCAGAGCATTTACGGAATCCCGTCTGGAAGACCTTATTAGCAGAAAGCAAGGGAAATAGAATATGTACGAACTGTAGATCCTCTAGACCGTCTGGACGTTCCTGTGTCGACATTCTCTTACTCCACACATCTTCCCAATCCAAACCTTCTCCATATTCACCTTCGAAGGACGGCGCGTTTTTGTCTTTCTTTCTGAAAGAATGCCACCGTCCAACCTGAGGCAATGGTATACCAGGGATAGTTGAACGAAATGGGACACAATTGCCATCGAAAACGGCCAGTGAACATGATACCATGTCCATGGCTGCTGGAGCTGAGAGGCAGCCGACGGTATTTGAAGACAAAGTAGTTAAATTTTGAACGAGTTGAGAAAGTTCTGAGGCCTCGACATTGGGAGAAAGCGAGAACAGAAGATGGTGACGAGAGTACTGACTGGAAAGTTGGGAGATGTGATTCAAAATCGCCGTTGAAGAGCGGGAAAAAATGGTACTCGTGTGAACCAACATTGAAAAATAGATAATTCGCAGCAAGATCCGAGAAGAAGCTCAAGGAAACGCAGGCATTAGCGACGTGACTTCGACATGGAAGAAGGAAAGAAAGAGGTGAGAAAATCCGCGCAAATGTTCGCGTTTTGGTGTTTTATGCGATCGGCATATACTTAAGTTTCGGCCCGGAGAACCAAAATTTGACCGAAATATTGCCGAAATTGCCTTCTCCAGTGGCTTGTTATTCTGCAAGAAGGCATGTCTGTCATCTCTTTTCCTGAAAAAAAATGCCCTTGTGCTCCTAAAAGATATATGGATTACTCATTATTTTCACACATATCATTCAATTTGATGGTGAAGGCATGTATTCTACCAAAATGGGGCTTCATGACGACTCGACAACAGGTTTCTTGGGGTAAGCGCCACTGTACGAAGGGGAGCTTATCAGTTCGAATTCTATGGCTTATGAAGAACTAGTTGGAACTCTAGATCCGGATGACGAGAAATAGAATACTACATCACTTACTACCACTGAATAACCTAGAACGATGGAGACAGTTTTCCCATCACACGTTTGCAGAGGAATTCATCGCCCCCCCTAGTCATACACGCATGCGTTCTATTTGATACAAACATAGTGCAATGCTGTAGATAACACAGTAAGTAGTAGTACACGCAACACAAGCCACCTAGTGACCCCCATCGCCTGGGATGACATCGACCTGAGAATTCATCAGTCTATGAACGTCATGCAAGAGAAACAACATACCCTGTCAAGATCCTCCAAACATTCCCCAATGATCCTAACAGCCTTCAACAGATCCCCCTCTGATATCACCAGTGGAGGCGCAAACCGAATGCTGCATGCAGCCCGTCAGCACGTGCAGAAGCTAAAGCAAAATTTGATCTTACATATTCACATGCGTCGGTTTCGCTAATACTCCTCGACTTTTCAGCAGCAGGCATAGCTGCCAGGCCGTGCGTCCCTTACGACTCTTACTCTCGTCTATAACGACCGCATTCAACAGCCCTCTTCCGCGTACCGTCTGAACCAGTGGGGAATTGAGCTTCATGATCGACCTTCGGAAGAGTTCTCCCAGCACCATCGCACGCTCCGCCAGACGCTCATCGACGAGGACATTAAGAGCCGTCATGGCTACAGCACACCCTAGTGGGTTTCTACAGACAGGATTAATGGATGCAGAAGAGATAAAGATAGGCTCTTACCCTCCGTAGGTACTGCCATGCTCGCCGGGTTTGATGCAAAGCATGATGTCCCGATCAGCGAGTACTGCAGAAACCGGGTACACTCCGCCGGATAGCGCCTTGCCCAGTAGGACCATATCTGGTCGAATGTTATCGTACTCACACGCCAGCATCTTGCCTGTTCGACACAGTCCTGTCTGGATCTCATCACATATAAGGAGCACATTGTGCTTCTTGCAGAGCGCATGGACGCGTGAAAGATATCCCTCTTCCGGAACAACGATCCTATCAGGAACGTATCAGATAAACATAGGTAAAGGAGGGGGGACGCTAAAACCACGCACCCAGCTTCTCCTTGAATCGGTTCCACGAGGAACGCTGCGACATTCTTGCCATGCAGCTCAAGCGCACGTTCCAAATCCTCCAATACGCCATATCTGATGGTGTTCAGTTGGGAGCCATCAAGATACGTCGGTCCGACACCCTCAAGGTAAGGTCCGAAGCCAGTTCGGCTCTCAGGGTCGCTACTCATGCTATCTTTCATAAATAAACTCAGCGGAGATTCTCCATTAAGCAAAAGAAACGCCACCTAATGACGCCCAACGTCCTCCCGTGGAAGTTACCTTCCACGCTCAAAATCACAGCCTGGCCTTCGGGAACACCCTTCTTCATGTAAGCCCACTTGCGTGAAAGCTTCAGAGACGTCTCGACAGCTTCTGCGCCAGTGTTCATGGGCAGAACCATATCGTAGCTGAACATCTCCGTGATCTGCTGAGCGAAGCGGCCAAAGACGCTGTTGTAGAAGGCCCGAGACGAAAGGGTGAGTCTCTGTGCCTGCTCGATGAGCGTTGCGACAATCTTTGGGTGACAGTGCCCCTGGTTTACGGCTCTGTTGCCACATGTGAGAAAATCGAAGCAATGATAAGTAAAAAAATACTGACGAATAGGCAGAAAGCATGTCGATGTACTCTTTGCCTTCAGGGTCCCATACTCTATTAAAGATCTAATCAGATCATGAGGATTTTGGCGGCAAAAAACACTCACTTGGCACCTTTTGCGGAATCGAAGACGACGGGTAACGGATGGTAGCTGATCATGGCAAAAAGGCCGCAGGTCAGTGGATGTTGTATAAATGGAACGGATACGAACGACGAAACGTTATAAAAGGCGGCGATGAATCAGGCTTTGTGGCGTCCTTTCCTGCACACGATGATGGCTATCCTCAACGAAAAAACGTCCGAAAGGACACAAAGAAAAAAGGAATACTCACTTGTGGGCTCCGTACTTGTTCTCCATCTGGATAACCTCCGCTGATGTCAAATGAACGTTGCTGGCAATTTTCGCGACAACGTTGCTTCCGTTTTTCACGCTGCCGTTGGAGAGGCCGTTGGAGAGGCCATTATTGGAGAGGCCGTTGGAGCTCGTAATAGCGGTTGGAGACATGTTTCTTGTTGGTTTCTTGGTTGAGAAAGGTATTTCTTGATGAATTTGCGAATTTCTGTCGATGATGGTGGTAACAAACAGAGATAGTAACCTCGGAGGCCCCCGCTGACCAATTATATCCATCCGCTTGCTCATGCTCCGCCCGTCGCGCTTGGCCCCAGCTTGACTCCCAAAAATTTTTTTATTGCCCCTATCTTGTTCCGATGAACAAGGAGGGCCGTCTTCGACTGACGTGGCAGGATCCAGGACGCGGAAGGACTTTGAATTCCGTGATATGCGTAGGGGTAAGAATTGGATCGAATGACTCGGACGGTGCTATCGGATTGAACCTGTAGCATGTATATATTTTCGAGCTTCACTTCGTATTTCAGGACTGGGGCCTAAAAAAACGGCCGACATCAAACTGAGATCAGGAGATATGAGCCCAAGTAAACGAGACCTTAAGGTGTTTCGTTTCACCCCAAGTACGTTTTCTTAAACTCTCTGTAACTTCCTTTCATATTGTTCCATAAGCGGGAAAGCTTTTCGTACTGGTTTAGCTTATTTATATAAACAAAAGCTAGTAAGGTTCGGGCTCGTTTTTTCATTCATAAAAACGCGCTAACCCCTGTTGTGTATAAGAACCACAGTTCGTGTCCATGACATGCTCTAGGTCAAATTCTGACTAGCCTGAGATTGAGGGATGTCATCGTAAGGATAGCACAAGCTTGCGTAAAATGCGCGCTATATCAACAGCGGCAATGATGCTCTCCTAGCCTTTATCTCCGTCAGTACGCGGTGTTGCTCCAGAGAAGGATAACAGGCGCACTAGTGTGCTCGTAGCAGCTCTGAATACTTGTGATACTAATGGTTGCGATGAAGCTTGCTGGCTCCGATACGAAGTCTGAACAACCGTTTTCGACATCGACATTTCTTTTCCCGGATGGGATCTTTATATTGGCTAATGCGCTCAGAATTGGTGTTGAGTGCTAAACTTTCAAGGACCTGCATCATTCTGACTGCTATAGTACGGGTCCAGGATGCTGACAGAAAGCTCGCACAATTCGTGGTGTTGTATCATAATATCCATCTTAGCAGCCCATTGAAATGGAACAAGTCAGCTTGAACGAGGTATCAAGACGTACATCAAGTGGTGATAGATATGTAGGCGATCTTCTCTTCTGAGCAAGCCTTTCCGTTAGTGGCACACTGAGCTTGACAAAAGCGGTGGGCGCAACCCGACCCGACAAAGTAAACAAGGCCACATCAATCCATGAGGTACCAACCTTTGTCGTTCAGTGCAACATCCATAAAGTATAACGTCACCCACAAATCCTCTGACAATAATCTCCAACAACAGTCTCCAGCGAAGTGAGCTAGTCTTTGATGCCGCTGCAACGCCAGTACTGAAGCCACTCCAGATGCCAGAAAAAGGTAAGAAACGCTTTGCGCCCTTCGACGCAGGCGAGTCTCCGAAGCGCATCAAGACCAACGTAAGCAGGATCCAGCTGCGGCCTGCCACTCATTGGCTAATGCCCTCTAGGCGGTACTACTTCCCGTGGGCGAGCCCTCACGTCTAAGAAGTATAGCCTCTCCCAACGCACAACCGAGGGGTCGTCTTCGTGCATATGCAAACGCACTACGACCCACTGTGGCACTGAACCCGTCCACGCCACTCCAGGTCTTCTCGCCAGAGTCCCCCTACAAGCTCGGCAGTTTTGACTTTTGGCCGATCACCAACAAATCACTGGAACTTGCAGCCGCGAGTGGCCTCCGACCCGACTACGAGGCGATTTTCGACCTCCTCTCGACTTGGCAGAACCAGGGTATCGCAGATTGCCCCATGCGTTGTTTTATACCGGACCTTCCCAACGCTCAGAATCCCAACGAGAAGGGCCGTATGCGGTGCGTCGATATGCGTGACCCTGTATCCGGGGAGATCCACGAAATAGCTATCACTTCCCTCGCCCTTACTGACGCGTTCAAATGCGACATACCCAACTTCCCCCTGCGTCGGGATGGAGAGACCATCGAGTCTGTCATGGGAAACACTTTCATCGCCAATATACCCACGACCGGAGTTGTATCATCTTCCGGAGGTGTCTTCAAGATGAACTGCTCACCCGTGTGGAGTGCAGTCTACGATAACAGAGAGAACAGTGCTCATGGAACTGAACTATGTGAGGTGTTTGAAGGGTATCTCGAGATGGCAGGGACGTATAACCCGCAGGGATATGATGCTGGAGAAGGGTATCGATTCCAGTGCGGGTTTTGGGGTGTAAGGTCGCGGTATTCGATGTTAGCATGGGATCCATTGGTGCCTTGCACTGACTCCTACATTCCGATGGATGTTGTAGAGTAAGAGAACAACGTTGTAAGTACTCAGTCGGCACAGTATGAGTGAAACGACTGTATTGATAGTGTATCATACCTAAAGTAGGAGAACAATGTTGTAAGTACTATTGGGATAAGTAAGTAAAATGTATATAGGTATATGAGTTAATGAACATACCTCAGTTGGCACAGTATGGATGAAATGACTAAGGATGCAGAAGTAACTATGTGGGATGTATACTGTCAGTGTGAAGTATAGGAGCTCGGGTAAACGAAAGAGTTTGTAGGCAGTGGTGTACAATATGGGTAATATAGGAGGGAAGAATCAGGTAGCATGTGTCTCATTCAACACATTGAACTTCCTCTGTTGTTAATATCATAATCTCAGCTTGTGTTTACAAATATGCATGGAGATCTTTTGCTTGTGATAAATGGCTATGCCATCCCCAATAATAAGAGCGGGACTTGCAACTTCATTGGTAATAAATGTTGAGTATCTCCGTGTCTAGTGCCTCTGCTATCCGAATTCATCCCAACTTTTTGTATCATGTCCTGGTTCTTCTCTCTGACAATACGTCATACGTTTGAGCATCTTCTTAGGGAATGACTAGATACCGTGGTTCTATTTTGGGTGCCTGTTGGGACCTCTAAACTTGAATAAGTTTCATTGGATATATACCCATCTCTAGCATAAGTTTCATGCTACACTTGCCATCTTCGCAAAGCATGAACGATCACATTACACCTACCCAGTACCCAGGGAGACATCGGATTCTCTACTCAAGAAATTGTTACTCTGACTGGGCAGGTTAGAGCTTAACTTTCGAGCCACAATCAATTCACATGCAGCCTAGATTATTGAGTTAGACCAGTGAGTTTGATATCAGAAGGACCGTGAATGAATGAATTGAGGCTACCCGGCTTCCTCCTAGATTGCTATTTAGTGCTTAGGCCTACTAATACAATACGGATGAGATATGGATACAAGAACACAAGAATCAAATACCACGGCTCCTACCGACTGTACATGGAACATACTATCACAATGCAAATGTCCTATGCAAAACATGGAAGCTTATTCCCACCATAAAATCATCCAAATGTTTGTGCACCATACATTTCCTATCGCTTGCCACGATGGCCATGGTTTTGATATAGCTCGAGTCCACTGTTGACAGCGTAGCCTTTGCGGAAGGGGTGTGATAGACATACAGCACGACCTCTCGGAGTTCTGTCAGGAAGCTCAAGTCGAGGACACCTAAAAATGAGAAATGGATTCCAATTAGAAATCATTCTTCAAATTTATGGCCACAGCCCAGTTTCCACTGAATCATTGTGAGGGTGATGGATCAAAGAGAGGTGCGATATGACTTCAGTAGAAAACCAGCACACACCAGTGACCTCCAATTTTCAACTTGAAAATAGTTAGCCTGAGTATTGCATGGTGCTTCTTTACCCAATGTAAGAGGTCCTTGTTCAACGAGAGCGAGCGCAATCCTACGGGAAGGGTTATATCTTCCAATGATGAAAGCGGGACATTCTTGGTGGCATTACCCTGCCATGTGAACTGGATCAAAAGTTGCTGGAGATTGCAGAAAAGACCCGAGCACGAAAGGATGCATCTGAAATTTACGGCAAATATTTCTTCGCCCTCCTTTATCCTTGTAGTTGAAGGAGAGATGTCTGAGGTGTGCTATAACTCTCCATCTCACATCGCTACTGTCATCGTCTTCTTCGCAATAATACGGCATAAGCGACAAAATGATTATACGCCTGTTCCAGAATCTACGACATTGGGAATTTCGGGGACAATGAACCAATGAGTACCATTGAAATTTTCTAGACTTACTCACAACAACTCTGTCCTTCAATCTAGCCTGAAAGAAGTCAAATTGATACCTTTTCAACTTGAGACAGTTAGGGTGTGGGGAGAATTGTTTGTTTATTCTGATATTGTTAGAAAATGGAACATATTATCAATATGCCAGGTCACTTTGTCGGGCACATGGTGTAGTTGGTTTATCACGCCCGCTTAGCATTCGTGCTGTCTCTTTATTCCTGCGGGAGGTGTTGGGTTCAATTCCCAATGTGTCCATAATTTTACGCCGGCTTTTTTCATTGACCAGTGCTCAGTGTCAGCCTACACTGCATTGTGCGAGTGGTACTAATAATCTCCGTACTACCTAGTACAGTATACATTATCGTGCCCTGGTACTGTCAGTGAGTGTATTCCTCTATAATTACGTCTTCATGTTAATGTTCAATGCACGTTTGTCAATGGTCAATGCCTAGGGTTTACGTTAGCTTCTGTACCCACACGCTTAGATGTACGCCAGGTGTTTCAGACATGAGTGAGAATTAGTCTGCCCTACAACAACGGATTGGTGGTGTGCATAGATGCGAAGACGTAATGTACGAATGGTAGCAATCTCACCTACAATAGTCCATCTCTACGAAGCCTTCCGAGCCGTGTTTACTGGAGCACCTATCCTCCTTGAGCCAAATCCAGTCGCTCAGCCAGCCGAACATCCTGTGTCCAATCCAATCCTGCCATATCACCCGCCATGGTGTTGACAACGTCAAGTGTTCTAACTCTGTGTGAAAGAGAAAGTTCAGTGAATCATAGGCTATAGGTCGCTGTCAGTGTGACCAAAAAAGAATGGTTTTTTTTTCGAGACATACCAACATTAACTTGAGGGTTAATATATATTTTCGGCCGGTGGGGAGTGTTCCAGAAATGCATGTCAAGGGCTATAAGATAACACTCTGACGACGTGCATTCCGTGCTGCCTCTGAACCGCAGCGGTAGTGGGGGGAGATAATCTCCCGTTGGTGTTGGCGCGCTGCGGTCTAACTCTGGAAAAAAAAGCGATCATTTAGTATACAACAACGAGAGTGATTCTGGGGCTGACTGGGTAACGAATCCGCAAGAAACCACGCCGCGTCAAAAACAGCCACTCCGTTCCAACAACTGGCAACGTTGATAGGTTCACCTTTCCGGAGGCTTTTGACAGCCCGGGAGTCCGAAAAGTATGGCCAGACTTCTTTCGCTGTCCGTCCGCAAGCGTCGCGGACCACCCAACTGATGGAAGCGTAAGAGGGGGGGAATGGCACGTAGCAGAGAAAGAAAGACATACGTATCATACAACCCCACTCCGTCAAAGTCAAGAGCACAAGCAAGGTCATAATCTCCCTCCTTCGTATTGATTAATCGTACAATAGCTCCTATTGCAAACACACAAAGTCAGAACAACGCGAAGCGACGGGGGGCGAAACGAAAAGACCCACTCCAGTCAAAGAAAACATCGTTAAAAAATAAGACTTTTGCAAAGGTCTTCCCCTCTTGGTCGCCCAGGACGCGCAAAGGCTCCAGGGCCTTGTTCCTGATATCCGCCATGTAGGAGATCCGTTCGGGGCTGTTCAGCCCCCACCTATTCCTTATGCCTCCCTGCAGCACTACATGGTTGCCGATACCCCGCTCATCGAGTTCCTTCTGGAACATACGCAGAATCTCTTGCGTCCCGTCCACAGAATTCGACTCGTAGATCGATACGAAGACGTTCTGTCGGCCAATGTGGTCGACGAGGAGCTTCATCTCCTTCGTCCACGCGGGTAGGACCTTTGCTGAATTATATAGATTGGCCGCGATGTAGTACGTGCCGTTCGAGGGAACGGAAGATATGGGGGCGCCATGGTGGAGGTAAGAAGAGGAAGGGTAGGTCGGTGCGAGGAGGAGGAAGAGACACCATAGAAAGCACAGTCGGAATCGTGTTCTTCTCTGTGGCGTCCACCGAGTCCAAGTAGAGATATGTGCGGCGTCGAATATCGCCAGCGCCGGTACGCATACTATCGCAAACGGAAGGTATACGAGAAAGGTGGAAAAGTACCCCAAATGATAGGCGAAGAAGATTGCGGTAGAGAGAGAGAATGCTCCGCATGCGATGAGTACGCCATGGAAGTGAAGGAGCGTCACAATGAGATTCCTTCTATTTTTTTTGTAATAGTAGGTATCCCTCATTGCTGTTCATGGTCAACGAGGGTTGTGGGCGTTTGATGCACGGCCCCTGAGCGCCCAGCACGTCACTGTCAATGGTGCACTGAAAATGTCGACCCATAGGGCCATCATCAGTTGTGCATGGCTTCGGCCTAAAACACTGTAGATCTTACCCTAATATAAGTACTGAACTTCGGGATTACTGGGGCGCCCAGAACGTTGCTACTTTGTAAGAGACAATGAAGGATAGTTCGGAGATATCCGAGTCCGAGTAGAGGTATTTATTTATTTAATTATTTGCTACTCGGTACAATAAAGACGGCCGAGCCTACAGATTCCAAAGTAACGCTGAAGTCACCGACGATGACCTGCGAGCCACTATCCAACACTTGCTCTGCGACCAGTTCAGCGATACCAACCTGCGCCAAGAAAAGAACCTTTTCTTCATAGTCCAAATTCGTCGCTAAAACTAGCGTCTCGTTTCCTACCGTCCACAAGCCTACATCGATCCGGTCAGCAGTCATCACTTGCTGGAACTCGACTTCGGGGTTAAGAATGAATGCAGTGATTTTCGGAAGGGAAAGCGCTAGAGCTGAGGCGGAGGCTTTGATATCGGCGGGAGTAGGGTCGTCCCACGGTACAACGCCTACGCCAGGTCAATATCCTTGTATACAACGAGAAGAAACCAATAATTACCCAGAGCTCCATGGTTGATCCCAACGATGCTCTGAACGATGAACTCCTTTCCGGTAGGAAATCTCTTCCAGTACCTGTAGCAGCACCTTTGAGCTCTTGCCAGATACAAGGAAAAGGAAATAGACATACGACTCATTCCCAAAGGCCTGCGGGACCGCCCAGACCACTTTACTCAGCTCCCATCCATTGATGAATATCCTCTCCCGAAATTCATCTTCCCTCGTCGATATATCTTGAAAGTTGCCTTTACAATTGTCACATCCACAATCCCCATAATCGGGCGTGCACACCGTGCCCCACTCGCTTGAGAACGTGACGTTGTTCCCAATCATGTAGGTGTCCTGCATGACGATATCCGCCCCGCTCGCGTAGGCCGTGAACTCGTAGTTCTCGCAGTTCAACACCAGGGATACAGGGTGGTAGCCGGACCCGCCTTGTCCATCTCCGCCGTCAAGCGATGTGATAAGGTTTGAAGAGAGAACGGTGGCGTTAAGTGGGTCGGAGGTACCGTCTGGTTCGTCGGCGGTGTACCATAAGAGAAGATTGGAGCGTGATTTGATACGGTCGATTTGTTCGGTGACTGATGTACTGTTCATGTACGTCCTGGATCGTGATGAGAGGTCTTTATGAGGTGCTGCAGAGGAACTCTTACGCTCGCATGTCGTACATGAGGTACATGCCCAGTCGCTCCATCTCATCCAACACCTCATCGAGTGCCGTCAGGTTCGAGAATGTTGGCACCGGATGAATCTATGGCATGGGTTACTCGCCATAATCACAGCAGAAGGATCAAGTTCTTACAATGTTGAATCTGTCAACAGGTCAGAACACCCTAGTACGTATGGAAATGGACACCAACCCTTGCTCCTTCAATATTCCGATGGCGGACAAATTGACAGCCAGATACGAGTCAAACTGCGTGTAGAAACCCAAGGGAAAGACTCTTTCGTACGCTCCATCTTGGTGCGCTGGTCGGGCAAGGAGACCACCGGTCCGCATGTCCATCTTCGTAACTGAACCAATGTCATCCGGAGGTGCAGGCAAATAACTCAGTAGCGCTGTCGTCGCGAATTGTTCCCCGCCTTCTGTCTCCCCCACACAGGAGATGTTGTACGCCTCAGTTCTTGGTGTCAAAGCCGACAGCGAAAATGGAAGAACGTGTTTCGTAGCATTGAGGGGCACGCTTCCGCTAGCGAGAATGTTCCCTTCAGTTGAAACAGTCACCTTCAAAGTAGAACCGAGAGCCCTGGTGATGGGGGACGCGCCGACGATATAGGAAAACGTAGTGGGTGCGTCAACGAGGATGGACACAGCTGTCGGGTCGTCGACAACCCCGTATTGGTCTTCCGCCAGGTATGGCCTAAGAGCAGGTCCGCATCGTAGAGCAAGGAGTGGCGTGGAGGAACTTGCAGGAATAGGAAATTCACCGCCTAGAATACAAAGTCAGGGTCGGTCGCTAGGTCATCATGATGGACTGACCTGGAGGCACGATGGGCTCGGTGCTCATGTAGTTCTTGTTACACCTACAGCAACGTCAAATTCGATACATGCTGTGGAGAAATTCGAGTTTACCATGTCTGCGCCGACACTAGCGTTAGAAGAGATACCAGTAAGACCAGGGACATTGTCATGGTCTGGTCGAGAAAGACCTCAGTGAGCCATATGTTTTATATCGGCATTAGAAGCAAAGATGAGGTCGCGTGCCTGAGCTCTGAGAAAGGGAATTTGTCACAATGATGCGCGGCGTCTTCGAGATAGATATCATGATTCTGATTCTGAATAATGGACGTCAGTAGGTACTGAGGCCGAATTAAGGAAAGTGGTGGTCCTAACAAAAGTATGTGAATCTTGAAAAGAAATTAGGCACGTAAACGCGCGTAAAAATTCGGATAGATCCTTATCCTAACACAATTGAAGTTGGCTGATTTGCCCAGCAGAGGTCCAATGCTATTGTAAGTGCGCAAGGTCACTCGAATCATCCCGCGACTAATGGGTTTGTTTTATACAAGATTCCGGTTCCTTGTATTTTGGAAAGCATCCTTATATTGATAAGGAACAAGATGTCTGCTGCAACCAGATCTGAGAGTGGGACGAGGCGATTGCTTCACGAGTCGACAGTAGTTCAAGTACGTACGACAAGCCTCTCTTCAATTCCATTGCCTATATGGAAAGAATAAACGGGCGCGTTGGGCCTAATGGTAGTGGTAGGAAGACAAAATTGGGCGTGAGAAGGAAGACACCGTGGACAAAAATTAATTAAATACGAGATAAGTAATTAAATAAAATTCCCGAAAAGGAAGGAGAAAGAAAGAGACCTTGAAGTTTGAGCACGAGTTCATGGCTCTACGCTACGGTGGTTACCCTGAAGATCCAGCAGACAGTTTCTGGGGTGAGAATACAGGAATCAGGAACATTTCTGTTGACATTTTCATCATTAGATAGAACCGCACAGAGCTAATTTTATCTGTCCTCAGGCAGAACTGACAACTAGCATGGAGCATGTGGACCTATGGAGTACGATGCGGTGAAGTCAACTGTGCCTTGAGAAATATTCGTGTCTCAGTCCATCCACTACAAAGATGAAAGATAAAAATATGAGTCTTTCATGGATTCCTTCCCTGAACTTCACTGTAGCACTTAGACATGTGACAGGAAAATGTATGGAACAGAATAAAGTGGCTCAGTAATATTCCTGAGGGGAGGAAGGCTGCAAATTGACCATCTACTTCGACTCAAAAATCGCGAGCAGGAATGAACCGTGTGAATTTGGTGAATTTGATATCGGTTTTGGCCCACGGACCCGCGTCCTTCACGGTATTTGCCGAGCCAATCAACGCGCAGAAATATCTCTGCCGGTCGAATCCGGATTTCCCGAAAAGCTACTCATCGCCGTCAACGTTCTCTCCATCCTTTCCCAAATGCTTGCAGCTCGACGCGTGCCTCGCATAGCGCGCTCCTTCGCCACCGTCCCCGACAGCGCCGGTTACAAGGTTGCCGCTGTCGACGCAAACCAGCCGACATCGTCCGTCACGTTCCTCGTAAAGGCAGGCAGCAGATTCGAAACCAAGCCCGGCGTCGCCCATGCTCTTAAAAACTTTTCCTTCAAGGCGAGTCTTCGTCACTGTTGCTTGTAACATGTGTTCATCGTCAACCAGAGCTCAGCATTCCGTTCAGCGTTGGGAACGATTCGTCAGAGCGAACTGTATGGTGGTGTGTTGTCCGCGTCGCTGGGTCGGGAGCATCTGGCATTGACGGCCGAATTTCTCCGTGGTGATGAGTGAGTAACCCAATGTGCTCGTCGCCGTCTGCTGCTGCTGCTGAGGGGAAGAAACAGGGAATTCTTCGTCCAGCTCCTCGCCGAATACATCCAGTCCGCGAAATTCACCCGCCATGAATTCCAAGAGTACGTTACGCCCGTCGTCGAGGCTGAGAGCACCGAAGCTTCATCGGACCCCGCCGTTTACGCCATCGAGCTCGCACACGCTCTCGCCTTCCGCAACGGTCTCGGTTCATCCCTCTTTGCGACCCCGCATAGCTCGCTCACGGTAGAAGACGTATCTGCCTTTGCCAAGAATGCCTTCACCCGGGAGAACATCGCCGTCCTCGGCACCGGCATCGACCAGGGTACCCTGTCCGAGCTCGTCCAGCGCTTCAGTGGTGCCGCAAAGTCCACAGGCGCAGCTTCCTCCACCTCTGCCTCCACCTACTTTGGTGGTGAGACGCGTTTGCAGTCTCATGGCGGTCCGGAAACTGTGTTCATCGGTTTCGGTACCACTGGGGCCCCTAGCCCTGATCTTGCCGCGTTCTCCGCATTCCTTTCCCCGACCCCATCTATCAAATGGTCCCAAAGTCTCTCCCCCATCGCCTCTGCCATACCTGCCGGCACCAGTGTGCAGTCGGTGTACCTTCCTTACTCTGATGCCAGTCTGTTTGGTCTTCTCATTCAAGGCTCGAGCGGCGCGAGCGTGAAGGAGGCTGGCAAAGCCGCGGTCCAGGCCCTCAAGGCTGCAGCTAAGGGTCTCTCGAAGGAGGACGCTGCTAAAGCTGCTGCAAAGGCAAAATTCGCAGCCGCTTCTGCGATCGAAGGTCGGGACAGTCTTGTCAACATTTTAGGATCCAAGGTACGCCGCACTCTCCAATGTCTTTTTCTCACTCGAAGTAAATAAACCTTATTAGGTCCTTGCTGGCTCTGATGCTTCCGTCAACACCGTACTTCAGCCGTTTGCCAGCGTCACAGCTGCTTCTCTTTCCAAGGTTTGTCGTGCTTCCGTCGCTTGTGATGATGTAAAACTTAAAAAAAAAAAAACATTCTTGTAGGCTGCTTCATCGCTTGTCAGTTCCAAGCCGACCTTTGTTGCTGTTGGTGACATTGCCAGCCTACCATACGCCGATGAACTGGGGCTCTGATTTTAGAAGAGTTCATGCTGTATTCGTCGAATATAAAAACGGAAGTTTAGTGCACCGGGCATAAAGTATGATGCACCTATGTGGTCTTGAAATAGTAGTGACAGTCGTACTGGCAAATGGTCCCTTGACAGCAAAGTTTGCTATAAACATGACAAGGTCGCATTGGTCGTCTGAACAAAGCACGTCTTATGTTGGATAACTTCATAGGCGCTTGATACACATGTGAACAGACAAACCAGGTTGTTGCATACATTCCTTGCGAGAAGTAAAAATGCTCAAAGCGCAAGGTTGGCATAGTGCCGTTCTGGCAGCAACAGAAGATACTTCAAATATGACAGTACCAATATGAGGTAGAAGTGTGACAACTGGCACGAAGAAAGAAAGAAAGAGAGGCTGTAGTTGAGTTCTCGTGGACACCCAGAGGAAAGCATTAGAGACAATATTTAGTTCGGTTGCTGTGCTGTGTGCTCCATCAGGTCGAAGAGGCCGCACCACGTCCAGACTTCAAACCTGATCCGCGATATCCATGATGAACTTGGTCGAAAAAAGGTATCACATTAGACACAGGTCGTTGAGTATTCAATTTACACTTTACAGTTACACATCTATAGCACTTGACTTTATCATGGCACACAAATTCACTTGCCCAGGTTCGACCGGATGACGTTTTGCAACGAGTATTCGTCATCCTAAGAGCAAAACATGAGGACATGAAACACAGAACTACGCGTTGGACAGACCTGATCCAAAGACCACGTAAAGCATCCAGCCATTCCAGACTGCTTTGCAAATTTGGCTTTATCCGCAAGACTGTAGGTATCATCATAAGAAACGACGGTGGTCTTTGCCGTGTTGTACAAGAACTGGGAAAATGTTAGCAGATAGACCAAGAAGTAGTAGAATCCGATGCTTACTGGAGTATCACTGCAGTCATCCCATCCTACCCAAAGGCGACATCAATTGGGTATTCATTTCGGTAAAAGGCAGGTATCATACCCATGGTGAATCCGTTCGTCCCACCATACGTTCCATCCGCCTGTTTCTTCAACGCGCCGGCACTGACCAGCTGTTTGAAGGCCACCTGAGATCCCCACCACTGGCTGAGGTCTCCAGCAACAGTATCAGTACGCTCAACAAGCGGTGCATGCTCGTGTAACTCTGCCACGGGAGCATAGCTGTTCGAAAGTCGCGTAGCCGTACTCTTCGAGACATATCCGTAGAGGGCCAATCCCAGTAGCATCTTTGACGGTGGAAAACCAGCTTCCTTCCATTGTGTAAGAGCAGCTTGAGCGTTAGCCTCTGGCTGGCTAGAGCTGCCGCAGAGGTTACCTGCATACCATTAGTATCTTGGCAGCTGTTTGCGAGAAAACGACGTACCGAGCGGTGCATTGGGTGCGGGGGTAGCCGAAGCTCCGTTGACATCGTAGTTCATGATGTTGATATACGACATCTGAGCGGCATAGTCTGATACATTAGACAGGGGGGCGCCGCTGGGACCAAGCCAAGGATGGTGAGCAACAGCGGCACTGATGATTTTCGACCACCCTGAACAGTTGTCAGTAAACAAACACATGCAAATGAAGGCAACGCTTACCCAAGGCTGCGCGTAAACACTTGAGGAACGTCAGAAAATTCGTCGCATCCGCCCAAGAATAGGGATTCCCGGAGCCTGGGGAATTCGGATATTCCTGTACGAGATGTTAGTTCGAAGCCCGAGATGCATCGAGCAACATTACCCAGTCTATGTCGATGCCTGGGTTCGGAGTCAGAAATAGGATGGAAGGTTGCAACGAAAACCGTCCTACCATCCAGTCCGAAGGAATTAACGGCGCCTACTAGAGCGTTAATAAGCTTTGTGCGATTGGTCGCGTTGCTCATGGAATTTGAGAACCAGTAACTCCCACCCCAGCCGCCTATATGGATGTCAAGAACAGATGCAGCAGATAAGAAAGGACGCCACCTATAGACAAAACAATCTGCGTCCTGTGTCCACTTTGGCAAGCAGCAGACACAAGGTTTCGAAGTGTGTCCTGGCTGCCATCATCCCAGTTGATTGTGGACGACGAATTTGGTACGACAAAGGCTGTAGGTCGCTATCAGAGAATTGAATAATCCGTGCGAAGAGATTCCGTACCGAAGAATAGGATATCAAACTTGGAAAAGTCCATCTTGCTTGGCGGGTTGCTCCACGAGGACCAATCAGGATAGTAGGCAGCTGCAACGAGACTGGAAAGGCTCGAAACCGGCGCTTTAATGGTAAGATTGGCCTTGCATATCATCGACGGGGTGATTTCGTCGTCGAATCCCTGAACGTCGGTGATATAGTTGAGATTGAGAAAGGCAAGTAGTTTGGATGACGACTGATATAGTGAAGAGCGAAGAAGAGAGTTCAAATATGCCAACAATCGGTCCTTGCTTTCAGTGATGAGCTCGTCATTGGCCCAGGCCGAAGGAACGAGGGCATTAAACACGCTGTTCTTCGGGGGCAAAGCGTACGGATCATCCAAGGCGTCGTGCAATGCAGAAAACTAGAGTTAGAAACAACGCTGACGCCTTTCGACGCGTCCAATGAGCTGCAACGCACCTCTGAATACCTTCTGAGCACCTCGTATTTGGTTCCATCGTCTAAAACGACCTCGACGGCGTACAAAATGTGCAGGTCAGGTACGGAAGACGTGGTATGCTTATCGATGAACACGTTAGCGATGGAAGACATAGTGGGCGGTCAGGAAGAAAGAGTGAACGAGAGCGTCGCCCTTTTATGCGTTCTAGGGAATGTCCAAATTAGGCACAGATAGTCACCAAGGACGTCAGGCACTTCGATCGTCGCGGCGTTTAAATGACAGCAAATGAATCGTGAAGATCGTTGGGTGGAGGTGGAAGGGAACCAAGGAGAGGGGACCACCAAGTTTTCGAAAGGCCTTTTCTTCAGTGCGAACTGCTTTTTCCGAAGGATATTTTCGATGAAGGGAAGGAGGACATGATTTCGAATGCATGCAAGTTCATTTATGAAGCGCAAACAGCGATATGGCCCATGAAATAAATTTCATTTGGAAGATTCAACAACAGAACGTTTTCCTGAGTTGTTTTGCTAATCCTAGAGGTCACTACGACTCTCAGTATGACATCGGTCTGAGTGAGAGGAAAGGGGGGGGGGAAACTCGAATATCCTTATGTCGACATCGGAAGGAGTACCGCCGCCTTTGTAGGCGACCCCTAACAATAAATAATATTATGTAATTAATTTACATAATTTATTAAGAAATAATTTCGGTCATATGACCAAAACACGGTTCGTAAATGTCTGCCACCAATGTTGACAGCAACGACGACACGACTGCCGCTCTTCTTGGATACCTTCCACGATGTCAACGACCACGACATACAAACGTAAATCAAAATCCATACCTTCCACTGACAAACGGCCAGCGAAGAAACCACGCCAGACCCTAGATTCCTTTTTTTCTTCTCAGGTCACTGTTTGCGGTGATGATCCTGACGGCCAGGCTACGACCAAACATGTATCCTTAAGTGTCGAACAAACCAAGGTTCTTAGGATGGTGGTAAACGATGAGCAAAACGTATTTTTTACTGGCGCTGCAGGTGCGTTCGCTGACTTGGTATGTTTTTGTCGTGCCAATGGTCGTAGGTACCGGAAAATCTCTCCTACTTAGGACTATTATAAACGCGCTACGTGCAAAGTATGCGAAGGACCCAGATGCTGTAGCCATCACAGCTAGCACCGGAATGGCGGCATCCAACATTGGCGGTGCGTTGCCTGTCATCGAACCTGGTCCATCGTTAAGCCGCCTTACTCAGGACAAACCATTCATGCTTGGGGTGCTGTCGCACCTACGGTTGACGACTTGGACAATCTCATTAAATGTATAAGAACCTGCCGACCTGCTCTCCAACGATGGAAAAAGGCAAAAGTTCTCATCATTGACGAAAGTGCGTCCATGTCTTCCCTAACATTATCTATAAACTCATCGCCGACAGTATCTATGGTTGACGGATTTCTCTTTAATCGCCTCTACGAGATCGCCAAAAGGCTGAGGAGGAAAACGACCAAGCCGTTTGGTGGTTTACAGCTGGTTGTCACCGGCGACTTCTTCCAGTTGCCTCCCGTCACCAAGAACGGTCATGAACCGATTTTTGCCTTTGAGTCAGCAGCTTGGAATGAAACACTGCATCATACCATCAACCTCGTCCAAGTTTTTCGGCAGACGGATCAAGGTATGATTGCGTAAAGACATTATTGGATACTGTCTGCTAATAATTTTCTGTACTAGCTTTCGTTGATGCTCTGAACTCCTTGCGTTATGGGGAACCGTCCCTTGAAGCAGTCGAGCTCTTCCAGTCGTTGTCCCGGCCGCTCGAACCCGTTGCACTCCCTCCGCCTCCAGCCTCCCAGCAACCATATCCATCTCCTCCGTCATTCTTGACATCAACCCCTGCAACGTTTCTGTCTAAGCGACAGAATAATGTTATTTTCCCTACAGAGCTCTTTCCCCATCGTTACGCCGTAGCAAATGCCAACCGAGAACGGTTAGACGCCATAAAGGCGCAACCCTTCACGTATAATGCCACAGATACTGGAAGCAAGCCCTCATTGCTCGAGTCATTGCTTGCAGAGCAAACCGTGGAGCTGAAGCTTGGCGCACAGGTCATGCTTATCAAGAACGTCGATGAGTTGCTGGTGAACGGTCTAGTTGGCAAAGTTATCGGCTTCTACCGGTCGTGGGAGTTGATCTGTTTCTCACCCCATCCTCCTGAGCGTAAACCCTTGTCAAGTGTCTCCACCGATGCTTCCAGGAGACACTCTCTTCCCTCCGCACCATTACCTGCATCAGACATAAAGAAAAACGGTTCGCTGATTCGGCATGTCTTCCTTAATGCAGATGGGCGATCTCCCGTCTTGTATTCACCGGAGATTGACGAGAACGATGACCCCGTCAAGAAGGAGAACGCTAGAACCGTCAAAAAACAGAAGAGCAGCAAGACTGAGCGAAATAACGAACGATTCCCTTTGGTTCTGTTCGAGTACGCCAGCCCGGAAGCAATGGGGGAGATGCAAACAGAGGCTGTCCTGATCACTCGGGATGAGTTTCGCGTAGAAGACGCCGAAGGCAAGGTCCTTGCTCGACGGGTTCAAATGTAAGTAATCCTTGGCACGTCGTGGCCGTGCTATATTGACGTGGAATCTTGTAGACCTTTGATTTTAGCATGGGCGATGTCTATACATAAGAGTCAAGGCCAGACGATCCACCGCGTCAAGGTCGACCTGAGCAAGGTGTTCGAGAGAGGTGGGTATATGGTCTTCTGAGGTGTTCTGCCGTCACTTAACACGTGTTTGCTTGTAGGTCAGAGCTACGTGGCGCTCTCCCGCGCGTCATCTGTTGATGAGTTGCAGGTCCTTGGGTTCGATCCGAAGAAGGTGCGTTAGCTTCCTTTTCGTTTACACGCCGGAGATATTAGCCAGCCCTCATTGCCACTTTGTTCTCGTCCAAAACTAAATGAAGCAGCCTGGACGGGAATACTGCATCGAGTAATCCCGCCCTTGAAAATTGGTTGTCGGCTCGAAATCAACGTGGCGTACATATTGCCAGCTTCTATCCTCGTTTTCGGATGACTGTAAGCATTGATGCTAATAGTGTGTTTCAGGTTATGGCACATCAAAAGGTCGTCGAATGGAGTAAGACACTAGAGGTGGCTGATGGGTCTGGGGACGATGAGCCATGAGGAACATACAGACAGCAGCATGCATTGACGGCTACTTTATTGGCAGCCTTCAAGTGCTATTTCTTGACCGACTAGCACCCTCAGCGCTAATGGTGTGTGCTATCAAATATTTAATTAATTATATATTTCGGTGTGACAATTTTATCTTCAAACTTTGACACGCACTTAACTCTCCACTGGAGTACTGCCTCTTGGACATTATGTATCGAACACATGATCCAGGCATTTCGATTTTCCATGTGCTGACAGTAACCGGTACCGAAGGCGAACGACGTTTTCTCTTTGCCAATGTCTTGTCGCAATAATCTCTACCGCACTGGTTCATTTTCATTCAGTTGCAGTCGATGAGCTGCAATCGAACATCGCTTGTGAGATGCTTGGCCCGCCACTATTGCAATTTAGGTCTTCATCATTGTATCCTTGGGTCCAGAGTCGGCTTCGTATCCTTGGCTTCATCTATCACATGCGAAAAGGCATGAGAAGGTGCATGGGGTAGAATTCTTCTTTATACCCTTTTCTGTCCTTCTCTGATCTACGCTTCTTATCATGTAGTGCGATCAGTCGATTCGATACTGTCCTAAGTGATAGTTTTGTGAAGCCGCCGTTTCCATGGGGCCGTGAGGTGTATAGTGCAGCCGAAGACGAACGAATTAGTCATCTTCGAGTCTTTCACGAGTATTGCAAGCCCGTGGAGTATATATACACGGCAGTGCATCCGTTTACTTCGGCATCATCGACATTATGGCTCCTTTGGTCACCATAAACAAGCACACCACCGCCTCAATTCCGAGGCCACACATTCTTTACACCATTGAAGTCACTCGGAATGGCGCTCACACTGCCGTGGATCGGAGGTACAGCGAGGTACGTTTGATCCATATTAAATCCCGCTTCAGAAGTACTAAGCGCTAACTATTCATATAGTTTGTCGCACTGAATGATACGCTCCAAGTCACTAAATACTTGCTCCCTCCCAAGCGCATACTTGCAACGACCTTCATTCCGTCTGCGTGGCTTGATGATGAACTCATCAAGGAACGAAAGGTGGGATTGAAGGAGTACGTGACGATGCTGGTGAGGGATCCGCAGTATAGCAGCAATCCGATCCTGCGGGAGTTCATTTTGCCCTCGAAACCCTCTCCGCCTCGTCGACTTCAAGATGACCTGCTTCACCTTGAAGACGCCGTTCCCTCAACGCTGTCCCGGAAGGCGGCTTTGGCTTTGGTCAAAGGTGGAGTCAAGGCGCAGTCGACTTCAATTGCTGGAGCTTACTATCCCAGTGTGTGCGACGTATTGTATTCATTCCAATCTGGCTCATCAGATATTCATCAGGTTGGAGCGCCAGTAGTCTCCCACCGGAAAATTTAGATTATTCTAAATTCGATATTCTTTTCTTCGGTAGGTATTATATAACGCACATGACTATCTGTGAACATTGTGCTGATGCTCATGGGACCGCCAGCTTTCGCTACGCCTAATTCTTCTTCGGGATTGACATGGGACTCTGGTAGTCAAGCCATTCTTCAGAGGCTTGTCACCAGTGCTCGAAACAGCGGCAAGGGAACGAAAATTGTTCTATCAGTCGGTACGTGGTAGGGATATCTTATGCATACTAAATACTAACAATATAATCAGGTGGATGGGGTGGTAGCTATTGGTACTCGCAGGCAGTTAGTAGCCCAGCCAATAGATCTACGTTCACCAACGCCCTATCATCCGCGGTGAGCACGTACGGTCTTGATGGTATTATCTTTCCTTCGTCATTTAACCATAACTAAAATATGACAACTTTAGGTATCGATATTGATTGGGTGCGGTTCAGCTTTAGCTTTCCATAATCATCGGCATCATCACTTATGAGACATCGATAGGAATACCCTAACTCTGCAGGTGCTGGAAATCTCTACGCATCATCGGATGCGGCAAATCTCTTGAGCTTGGTACAGTCGCTTCGCTCAGCTCTTGGTTCGTTGCGCTGAGCTTGTTGTCATGGAATGCTGCCTGATCAAGCGCAATTATAGGTACAGGAACGATCATTTCTGCAGCTGTGCCCCACCTTCCGTGGATAGGTTCCAATGGTAAACCCCTCACAAACGTCTCGGCTTATGCGAAAGTAATGACATATGTCAACATCATGTACGAAGACAATCAAGCTTTGAGAACAACAGCTGACGTGCCAGGCTCACTTAGGAACTATGATGTCTGGGGAGCATCATCGACACCAGGACCCAATGCTCCACTTGGTACGATGCCAACTACGTAAAATCAAGTCTTTACCAATAGCATTTACTTCCAGGGGATCTCTGTGGTACTTCCTCGCAACCTAACGCAAACGCTCAAGCCGCTCTGTCACAGTGGACTTCAGCCGGATTCCCTGCATCACAACTCCTTCTCGGTCTCCCATTGTATGGCTACGTGTCTCAGAGTTCTGGCACCGTTCTTTCGGGAAGCCTCATGCCCTCCTCCGAGATGGTTCTCATCCAAGGGAATGAAGAAACCGTCGACGGCAAGGCTCGAGTGCGCAAGATGAACTTCCTCAATGGCGCCCACGCTCGGCCGAAGAATCAGGAAGTCAAAGCGATGGCGTCGCTCCAGAGCTGGTGGGGTCAGCAAATTCCTTTTAGTTCTCTTGTGTCGTCGGGTGCTTTGGTGAAGAATGCGGATGGAACCTATTCAGCAAGTGGTGGTTACACTTTCAGTGCGTCCTGTCCTCGGAGAGCGAGCTGTTGACCGATCATATTTTTGTAGACTGGGACGACTGCAGTGACACGCCGGTAGGTACTCAAGAGACTTTGATAGAATTTGCTGACGTTGTTCTTAGTACTTGTATAACACCTCTCAGACGACTGTAGTAACCTACGATGGTCGGTGACATTTCTTTTCTATGATCAAGTGTCTCAGTTGAAACCAATAGACACTTGGTCCTTGGCGGACAAAGCGACTTTCGCGAAGAATAATGGAATGGGTGGTTGCTTTACTTGGTCTCTTGATCAGGTTTGTTTCATTTATGAGGCATCAAGTTGCAATGCTTATCGAACTCCAGGACGATGGTGTTTCTCTGATGAACGTGATTCGATCTAGTTTGGGCAAGTAGAGTGCCACTTCTGTGGGCACGTAATGGAACGAAATGAACTCGACGATTTGGCGACATCATTCCTTGTAGTGCCGCCGATTCTTACCATAATACATATTGGCGCTCTTAATTTCCGCAATGAGCTGAGTGATCCAAAAAACTGGCGCCATGGTACCATAAATCGGTATGTCAGGTAACTCCGGGGCGGATCTCATGGGTTTCGCTATGCCGACAAGTCCTGAGCAACCCAGTGTAGGAAACGATGCTATTTCATTTCCGTCATTGCTTGTTACTGAATGCATCACTTACCTCGAAGCAACGGTTTCGACCCCCTCCTCGAATTTTACTGGCTTGATTCAGACTCTGTGTACTACCATTTACATTTATCTGTTACTCAAAGAATAACTACTTGAAGGTGAGCTGTTGGCTTGGCTTAAGGAACTATATTTGTAACAGTTTGAGATCGCAGCATCGAGGTGACAAATATCATCCCGCGATTGAGTTAGATGACTCAAGATCCATAGCGTCTTGAATTGAAGAGCCGTTTATTTACAGCGGACGTGTAGAAGAATCATTACAGTTCCTCACGTACAAAAGCTAAGTCATGCTACATTGACATTTCCCTCTCAGGCAAATACCTAATAGATGCTCACAGGTACCAACGAGTATAGAGGTAACAAAGTAGGTGATGACGTTTCCTAGTCGACTTAGGGTTTCTTTTACCGTCACCGCCACCCCCACAGCGGTATCGCTACTTACTGACGTGGTCCATCGAGTATGTATTTGACAGTCTTGCGGTACCCTCTTTGAACGAGTCCCAGACCAGTCCAAAGAGACCTGGAAAAGATAAGTTCGAATCTGTTCGATGTCATTTCGGGTGCTGTAGCTAACATGCATGAGATAGATATTGATGCAGCCCATACCGAACAACGTACTCTCGATTCAACAGTGAAGGACCGTACCCCGCTGGTGACGAATCTATTCGATCTCCTCGCAATGGTTGCGTGCGGGTCCAGAGTGCCTTTTTCGGCTTTTCTGCAATATATCTGGGGCTGACTCTTACTTGATGATCTGGTACGCCGCCGACCGACCGTCATCGTATCCAGGTCCATTGTCCTTGTGGTAGAAAGCTAGTCAAAACGCCAAGGCCAGTTTTGCCTGGGCGTCTCCACCTTTTAATAGTTGTTGCGCAGTTTCCAATCGGTGTAACTTTCTCCAGTGACCATGTGGGCTCCGATACTGTTAGCATCCAACGGTCTTTTTGCGCCATAAGTAGCTCATCTTCGGTGGCAGTAATACGGCTCAAGTGTGTGCTTCTGCGTCTACCACTTGTTGAGTGCTATCATATCTCTTGGTTTTTATCTTGCTGTAGCGCTTCCTAGCGTTCCTAAAGTGCGATATTGCCGCGGACGTGTGACAACTCTTTCAACATTCGAAGAGCGGATGGCGCAATTTTGAAATGGGAGAGCATCATCTATCAGCGACCGGGTCCGGATCCACGTACTCCTGTTACTTAAGAACATCAATGGGCAGATGCATTGACACCGCAATCTCCCCGTCCTGAGCTTTTACCATGAGCAAGCAAGACAAGGACAGCTCAGATAAGTCTATTTCTCTCGCGGACGATGCCAAACACTCCGACGTTCCCGCACAAGCCCTCGAATTTGAGGCCGCTGCCTCCAGCAATCCTTACTATTTCCCACTATTATCATGGACAGCACAAGAGGAATCGAAGATAATTAGGACACTCGATACACGCTTATTCCCCTGGATCCTTCTCACCACCTTCGTTCTAAATATGGATCGCACCAATCATTCTAATGCCGTTTCAGATAACTTGGCGACGGATTTGGGCTTCACAAATAGCACTGTCAATCTGGGAATAGCGGTGTATTCTGTGATATTCTCTTTCGCCTGTCTTAGTGGTGCCGTCATATCGAAGATTGTTGGACCAGCTCGATGTACTTATTTTCTTTCTTTCTTTTTCATGTTCCTGATTCCTTTCCTTTTGATGATAGGGATCCCGCTACTGATGTTCTCATGGGGTCTCGTTACAATGGCACATGCTCTGATCACTGATCGAGGCGGTTATCTTACAGGTAAGCTTCCAGTTCTTTCATCACTTTGATATGACCGACACCACTATGTTTCCGCACAGTTAGATGCAGTAAGTCCACGATGTCTTCAGGTTACACAATATCTGACCAGACATGTCAGTGATCGCTTTAACCGAAGGTGGCGTCATTCCCGCGACACTGGTATACTTGGGTTCGTTCTATAAAAGCACCGAGCTGGCTACTCGCTTGGCATGGTTCTGGGGTATCCAGACTATCGCAAGTGCAGTTAGCGGGCTGATGGCTAGTGGACTTCTTCAGCTTCGAGGAGTTGCGGGCCTGGAAGGATGGAAGTGGCTATTCTTGATTGATGGTATTATTACGGTTGTTGTCGCCGTCGCGACATGGTAAGTCTTTCGTCTTTATAACGTTATCACCAGGATGATTTTTGTTCACAATCCATAGGTTTTATCTCCCGAGGAACATTACTCAGACCGCTGGCGGTCTTCGAGGCTGGAGACCTTGGTTCGACGAAAGACAGCTTCGCATCGGTGTCACACGAGTTGTTCGAGACGACATTTCGAAGCGTGTCTATGAGTTGGTATTATTTTTCTGTTCCCGAAATCTTTGCTGATGAATGTTCAGGCAAAAAGTCAAGTTGTCCGACGTGAAAGACGCCGCTACAGATTCTGGTTTGTGGGGACATCTGCTCATCACGGTCATAGGGATGACTCCAACAACACCGCTTGCAACTTGTACGATTCTCACTTTGCATTGTTGCCTCTTTGACCCCCAAATACCTAGATTTACCGACTGTTATCAAGTCTTTCCATTTTGATGTCTTCGTTGCAAACGCTTTAACTGCACCCCCATACGTTCTTCAGTGTATAATGATGGTAAGCTTCATCTGGCACTCTGATAGAGTCGGAGAGCGTGGATTCCATGGTGCATTTGGTGGTCAGTCCTATTGATCGTGAAACGGCAACATACTAAATTCTTGAATTTCCACAGCGGCTTGGCAGCTTGTAGGGTGGATCTTACTTCGCGCCTTGCCTTCAGGAACTAGGAGAGGTGTAAAGTACGTAGCTCCTCCCTGTAAACCGAACTGTGCCTAATCGTGGAACAGATATTTTGCAGCCGTCGTAGTTGCCGCTTGGCCTTATACACATCCGCTGAATATTGCATGGATGTCAGAAAATACGGGGTATTACGCATTGAATCTTGCAGTTACATAAAGGACTGACCTTTGGTTTATATAGGAGTGTCGGAAAGAGAACAATCGCGTCTGGTTGCGTCATATTTGCTGCGAATATCTACGGAGGTATGTCTTCCTTTGGTGACAAAGTACGAGACTTATGACGAGTGTTGATAGTGTGGGGATCACAAGTAAGTTCAGTGAGATGAGTTTTTACACTAAGAGCTCATCCGCGTTTAAGATCTACCAGACCGACGATTCACCAGGTAAGCGCTTGGTGTGTTCCGTACTGACTCACAGGCACTAATTTCTCCGCCAAGACTATAAACGGGGAAATACAATCAACATTTGCTTCGCAGGTGTTGCATTAATCCTCTGGTTCGTACAGAAATACTACTATCGTCGTAGAAACGCACGAAACGCAGCACTCTACGCGGAACTGAGTGGGGACGAGAAAGCGGAAGAAAACAATAGAGCAGAGGAGAGAGGTAATCGGGGCCTCACTTTTAGATTTACTACATAAATTTCAAACTAGTACAGGCGTAACCCACCGAGATTCTGGCTTTAAGCCCCAGTTCTCTAGCCAATTTATAAACTTGCCGGCAGTTTTCTGATGACCAGCAATGGTTGGATGTAGGTTGCTGTGTTGTCAGTCAGTCGCAATGGGTACTGGGAGGAGTGTAGTGATAATATACTCCAGGAAAACATCATCCCACGAGACCCAACCTGTCGCATTGACGAGGAAGATATTTTTATCGTTATTGCATAAAATACAATGATGAGCAAGCGAATAAAATGCCACGAGACGTCGGTACCTCATGTTCACTATCTGTTCATACCTTCCGTTGTAATAATAGCTGATTTGGCCATCTGCAGCCGGCCAGCCCCACTGAAATCATGGTTGAATGATCAGTCAGTTGACTGAAAGGTCACGTACGGGTGTGAAGACGAAGATTGGTTGCCTGTCATAAATCCGACGGAGGCGGCGTGTGAAGTCGAGAGCTCGACACATGGAGCATTCTTATGTTTAAGCATAGCAAGAATGAATAAATCGAAACTATAAGTCAGGAATATGAGATGCAGAATAGCACATAGATAATATGGGTTTCATAGATAATACTCTCCTATGTTTGAATATCTTGCCATAACCGAGGACCATTCACAGTGTTTGCCTCCATTCGGACATACATAATGCAGAGGTTCCAAAACAAAGGCTCGATCTCAAAATCTTCCACATCTTACACTGAAATAGGACGGCAGGTGCAGTAGTACTGGTCAATGCCGCTGAACACTGGATACTTCTGCCACTTGGTCCCACCCATCACCCCATGGCAACAACATCATCAGGCAGTGCAATAGTCTATGTATTTGTATCAATGATACTAATTTAAATCTATAAATAAACTAAGCATCCTATTACAGCAATTACATGCATCTACCATCTGTTGGTTTTAAAACACTTTAAGATGATCTATAGGATTACAACTCAGAGTTCTGGAAGTTGCAATAAGATCTCCCTTGGAGAATTAGGTCAATCATATTGCTGTTCTTACAGATCATTTGTTATAAGTCATCTTTAGTGTTTCACATGAAAGTGTACTCTTGCTGCTAGCTGGACTCAGTTCCTTGTCACAACAAGAACATCTAACACTGTGCCTCTATCTGGAAGTTATGAATATGCCAATGCCAGTCTAGAACATTCACTACTATCTCTTAATCAGATTGCTGAATGCTGTTTGATATCAGAAATAAGACCCATCTCACTATTCACCATAGTATTTAAGATGATCTTAATATGATAATCATTGTTGCAATGCAGCAGATTTTTTGCTGTGCTACTGCATGCTATATAATGAAAGACATGAAATGTGTTAAATCCACAGATTACTCCCTCACTTATCTTTCACATTTCATTCAGACTTCTTTGATGTCCAATCAGACTAACATCAACAGAACTTTTATATATCAATTTCTTGATGTTCAACTGAATTCAACAATATTCCTCTCTCTATTAAGTGGTATATATATTTATTTGTTCAGATACATGAGTTTAATTAGAGCTTTACATAGGCCTATATAGTGGAATTGTTGCTATCACACTGTGGAATATCTGTGAGAAGAACATTCCAACTTTACTATGCTTTAAAAGCTGAAGTAAATGGCACAGTTATGAACAAGTCCCAGCACAACAGACAAGTTGGCATCACCATTGTTGTAATCTTCCTCTACATTTTTACCATCATCAGCTTTGCTATCAATTGGTCATTCATCCATTCAATCTTTATAGACAATGGACAAAGCTTTTTGGCAGAATATATGTTTTCTCAGAGTTCTACAACAATGGTAATAATTGGTCCAGGCATAACAGGTATTATCTGTACTATTCTAGCAGATTCTACTATGGTGTGTATGATAATAAAAATTTTTAATGCAGCTTACCATTATTCCAATATAGATTTGGCACTATTGGATAGTCTGGGGTCAGCACTGGCTGAGCATTCTGCCTCCTGTTCTTTTTCTTCTTTCTGCAACTGGTAAGATCTGTCAGATCTCTTAGAATTGGCTAATTTATACAACAATTTGCACAGCATTCAAAATTATTTTTGTCTATCAAGACTATATGGAGATCAACTATGAGAAATACATCATTAGTGATGTACTTTATTCATCCTTTGTTCTTGCAACAACCTTGTGGTGCACAGTGCTTATCATCTATCGCATTATCACTGTTGTACAAGCAGGAAGTCAAGCAGATGGAATCAGAGCTTATCATCACATTATTGAAGTCTTTGTGGAATCATCAGCTCTTTATTCCATATGCTTGATTTTATATATAGCTTTTTCCTCTTATAATTCTGTTCTACTGGTATACTTTGATTTTCTAGCAGCAATAACAAAAGTATGCTCATAATCTTTTCAAGTCTTCATATCTAACAAACATCATATAGGGAATTGCTCCAACACTTCTTGTTGGACATGTTGCAGCAGGTCATGCTCACTCAGATGACTCTTGGCAGGGAAGTGTAATTTCAGGCTCACTTCACTTTGGGACACATCCTGGAGGCCAAAGCTCTCAGCAAGATTCCATGATCAGCATTGATCTTGAATCCCAGCAGGAGATAGGTGATGCATATGGCCATCAGAATCCAGCATCTTCTGAGGAAAATAGTGCCAGTGGCATCCAAGAGAATGACTTGGAGGTGGCCCAGCAGGAGAGAGATATCATATACTCCCATCACACTCTGGCAGAATCTCAGACAGATGTTGGCATCAACTCAGAAGGTGTCATCCAAAAGCATGATTCTGAGTTAGAGCAGGAGAGAGAGAGAGAGAGAGAGAGAGATGAAGAATATAGCCATTGTATGTTGAAGAGCTCTAGGGAAGATATTGGTATTGAGAGTGTCATTCTCAAGGTCTAGATAGTCAGCAGACACCATCAATTATCTGCTTCAAGTAATAGACCACATTCTATTCCTCTATTTTAATATTTATTAGACATTGATTGACTTTCATTCTTTTATATATAATATATCCACTTTCCTTATAAACATTCACTGTCACAAGAGAGATTCATTTGCAGGCATACTTGAGAAGGAAGAGAAATAACTTTCCAGCTTTTAGATAGAGATCTTCTGATGCTGGTCCTCCACTCAAATGATATACAAATGAGATGCCAAGCTAAGTGATAAGTAGATCAGACAGGTATTCATCTGTATATACAACTTGAAGAAACATCAACCTATGAATGAACACTTCTTACATGCTAGAGCAAAGTATGTACAGAGACTTAAGATATGGCTCATATAAAATCAAAATCTAAGTAGGACTGCTTATAGCATGTGACTTTTGCCAACTATAGGTACCAAGAGAATGCCATAACCATATCTTCAAGGTTCATAGTAGTAGAAAAAATGAGAGGAGCACTATATTGCATTACATTATTATGATATAAAGGAGCCAGCCAAAGAGTGTTATGATTTTTTCCTTATTTCTTTCTCTTTTCCTTGATATTGACCCCTATTTATGCTTAGTCAGAGTGCTTACACCAGTGCTAAGGAGCATGAGACAATCTTGGTCAGCACAATTGACTATTGTCTCAGAGCACCTAGTGATATCCTGACAACAGCACAACAAACCTTTTGTAGATAGCACTGTCTCATCATGATGATGAGTATTATAATGCAGACTCTTACAATTAGTAGTAGTATATTTAGTAATGAGACCAAAGGTATATAAGTACTGTAGCAGCACTATATATCTCTAGTCTCAAACTATCCTTTGATTATATCCACTTACTTGAGTCTTCTTGCAAAGACCTTGAGACATAACATCCACACACATCACACATTAGACTTAGGCATGACTGTATGAATGTGATATAGTGCCTATTTACCATGTGATATTGGACATGTGTCACTTAATTCTAACAAAGAGTGTGTAGAGAAAGAGATGGAAAATGTATTAAACAAGATTGGGACTCTATGGCAACTATCAGAACCAATGCAGTGGAGTGTGAGTCTCATCATTAGGTTGTTATCTATTCTCTTGAGCATGTCAGTTGGAGTGTTTTTTCTAGGTCTGGTTATTTTTTTAGTCCCACTAAAAGTATTAATTGCATATATTGTCAGGATCATTGCCTTTGTATCCTTTATTGTGTATTTCATCACCAATTTCCTTCTGATTTGGTACATTTCATGCCCATACAAGACACTATTGTCACATTATGTGTTCCTTCTCTATGCCTACCTCACTCATCTCATATTCTTGGTCTCTTATGAGTCACCTCAGACCATCCACTCACTGCAAGACATTGAGGATATAGCTGTGAAGTCCTATGTAGATGACATTGATATACATGCCTTGGCCTGGTTGTTTAGCATGTTCTCCAACTCTAGTGTACAGAGCATTGTTCTACAATCACTCAGCACTTTACCACTGAGGTCAGTGGAATCTTTAAAACAACACACACAGGGAATTTTGAGCATATTTGCAATCCTTATGGAATGCATGCTGGATCATCCTCATGAAAGCAGGCTTGATTGCCTTGTTCACACAAGTCTCCATTTTGACATCACATTGTACAATTTCTGATTTATAGACAGAAAAAAGAAAAAGAATCAACTTTTCTGAGGGGTCTATGCAGAGCTTTTTGTTAAGCCCAAGCGTCACGTGCAGTTAATCACGTGATAAACGATTGCACCTCGCACTTCGGGTGATCAATCGAGTCCACGGTTTTGACTATCTGCGGGGTGTCACAAGGCTGTAGGAAGCAGCTCGAGAGTAGAATGGTATGAATAAACTTTAGCTCGAGGCTGGGGTATACCAGCGAGAGCTACCGGTCTTAAATACTGTACAGGTAATGCTAATAATACGACTACTTATTGTGTCGGTCTGTGTCCATGGTGCCCATTGTCCTTGGGCATCGTTGTTGTACATAAAAGGGTCATTGTGCCTTGGCGAGCATTGTTGTATCTAGGCGGCTCAGTTGTGCTTACTAAGCCCTTCCCGCGGTCTCGTGCTAAGCGTAAATAGGGGTAAAAGGAAAGAAAAAAGGGAAAAATCGTAACATTACCCCCTCGTTTAAGACCATCGTCCCGATGGTTTAATTAAGGGAAAGCTCATAATCATGTATGGCGGTGTCCGCGTTCATGTATTTTTCGTTAACCCACTGGTTAGATTCTGGGCCGTAACCCTTCCAGCTGACGAGGTAATCGACCGTTGTCGTCATACCGCCCCCCTTTGCTTTGACGCGACGCAGTTTGTGACCCAGGACTTGGTCGATTTCGAAGTGTTCTTCGTCGTCAATTAAGTCTGGCGGTGGCGGAGGCGGTTGTTCCTGGTTAGGAAATGCTGGTGCTATGTATGGATTTAACAGGGCCTCGTTGAAGACGTCGTGAATTTTCCAGGTAGTTGGTAAGCGTAATTTATATGCGCTCGGTCCGACGGTTTTGATGACTGTGAACGGTCCTGTTCGTTTGTCATCAAGTTTCTTTTTCGGCCGTGGTAGGTGGAGGTTTGTCGTGTCGAGCCATACTTTGTCGTTCGGTTGATATACGCGACTAGGCCGTCGGTGTTTGTCGTAGCTTCTTTTCATTGATGCTGCGGCCTTTTCTAGCGCTGTTTTTGTTTCATTGTGAATCTTTTCCATGTCGGTTGCGAAGTTTGATGAAGCGGGGGTTGTGGTTCGGACGCGGGTGGTTTGTGTGATGTGTGGGTGATATCCGTGGTTCACGAAGAACGGTGTTTTTCCTGTAGCGGAATGTATTCGGTTGTTATGTTGAAAGGCTGCCAGTGCGAGCCATTCGGTCCAGTCATCCTGTCGATAGTTGATGAAGAGTCGTAGATACTTTTCGATCTCTTGATTTACGCGTTCTGTTTGCCCATCCGTTTGGGGATGATAGGCGGTGGACGCGTTTTGTTTAATGTTTAGGATGCGGTATAGGTCGGTTATGAACTTTGAGACGAATTGAGGCCCCCTATCTGAGATGATAACTTGGGGCATCCCATGTTTGGCATACACTTCGTCTCGGAGGATTTTGGCCCACCCTTCGGAGTTTAATTCCGTGGAGCATGGGAGTGGGATAATTGCTTTGGAGAATCGGTCCACTATTACAAGTATTGCGTCGTACCCATTGCACTCGGGTAGTCCCGTGATCATGTCGACCGAGATGTGTGTCCAAGGGGCCGATGGTACTTCGTTAGGATGTAACGGTGCTGCTCGAGCCTGTGTGGAAGACTTCCCCCGCTGGCAGACTTCGCAGGCCTTTACGTATGCCGTTATATCGTTTCCCAGTTTCGGCCACCAGTATTCTTGGAGTACGAGCTCCTTGGTTTTGGCGACACCCGGGTGTCCTGCTGTTATGTGGTCATGGCAGGTGGCGATAATTTCGCCGCGTAGTTGATGGTCCCGGGGAACATAGATGCGTCCGTCATAATGGATTAATCCATCTCTTTTTGTCATTCCCCGCTCGTGGTTCAGTGAGGGAGCCACCCTTTGGTCCCATTTGTGACTGTCTCGTGTCGTGCTTTTGATCCGTTCATGGATCTCCTCTTCTGTCGGCATTATCATGGCTCAGAAATGCTCTGGCCTTAGCAGTGTTACTCCCGTGTTGTCCGTTCCCCCTTGATCATGGTCTGCTCGTCGGCTCAGCAAGTCGGCCTTTTTGTTGGCTGTTCCTGCCTTATGATGCAGGGTGTACTGATATTGACTGAGCTCTGTTACCCAACGTGCTTGTCGTCGATTGAGTTTTTGTGGCTGCCGGAAGTAACGTAGGTTCTGGTGATCCGTCCAAACTTCGAACGTTTCTTCGGCGCCAATAAGGTAGTGTCGCCACTCCTCAAGGGCGAGCATGATAGCGAGCAACTCCTTGTCGTAGATTTCGTAGTTTCGTTCTGTTGTCGTTAAAGCCTTGGAGAGGAACGCGACGGGCCGCCACCTTCCGTCCTGTTCTTGGGAGAGGACGGCTCCTATTGCTCCCTCACTGGAGTCGGCTTCTACTCGAAACTTCCCTTCTTGAGTGGGAATGGCTAGTATCACGTCTTCCGCCAGTCGTCGTTTAAGGTTATGGAAGGCGGCCTGCTGGGAGAGTCCCCATTGCCAGGGAGCATTGCCCGTTAGTTGTGTCATTGGGCGGACGATTTTGCTGTAATCGCGGATGAATCGTCGATAAAAGTTCGTGAACCCAAGGAATGATTGTAATTCCTTTTTCTTGGTGGGTTCTGGCCACTCGGCAACCCCTGCTACTTTTATCGGGTCCATTCGTATGCTTCCTTCGCTGATGATTACGCCAAGGTACTCCGTTTCCAACACCTCGAATTCGCACTTTTCTGCTTTGAGGAATAGTTTGTGTTTCCTCATCAGGGCCAGTACCTCTCGTACTAGTTTTCGGTGTTCCGCCTTCGTTTTTGACATAATCAGAATGTCATCGAGGTAAATTGTCACCTTTCCGGTGGAGATGAGGTTTTTGAAGATGTCGTTCATCATCCATTGAAAGGTGGCGGGGGAGTTCGTGAGTCCGAAGAACATTACTGTTGGCTCGAACAGTCCCCGATTGGTGCGGAAGGCGGCCTTCCATTCGTCCCCCTCTTTGATCCGGACGTTGTTATATCCCCATCGTACATCGAGTTTGGTGTAATATTTGGCGCCCCGAAGTTTGTCCATTAGTTCTGAGATTAGGGGTAATGGATAACGGTTTTTAATGGTCATCTCATTGAGCTTTCGATAGTCTTGGACGGGCCGGAGCTTTCCATCCTTCTTCTTGACAAAGAAGAAGGGGGAGGCCATGGGGGATTTCGAGGGGCGGATCCTGCCGGTGGATAGGTTCTCTTCCAGGAATTTGTCTAGCTCCTGCTGCTCCTGGTAACCGAGGGGATAGGTTTTACAGTCTAAGTTGGCGTTGGCATTGGGGATCAGCTCGAT